AGGTTACCCACTATCCGTCTAAGAGGCACAGGATGAAAAATAATATGAGGAATTTGTAAACCTGATCGAAGAGAACCAGGTGGTGATAAATGTATATTGCTTATATTACAGCGAGGCCATTAGATCCTCCATCAGTCTGGTTTCCTCCACTCTGTGTATCCACAATGCAGGTGGAAGGGGAGCAGATTGCTTCCACATAACTGGATTGCATGCTCTAGCAGCGTTAATAAGATGAACTAGTAGAGAGTTTTTATAGGACTTTATAGTGGAAGAATTAAGGTGGAGAAGAAAAGCAGCTGGCTCCAAAGGAAGGCGTGTGTCAGTTACTTTATGGATAAGGTCTGCAACCTGGACCCAGAAAGGACGTATACAGGGGCAATCCCAAAACACATAGAGAAGCATGCCAGGGCGTTCATGACAACGACAACACAGGTTAAAGGACCCAGGAAACATCTTGTGTAGGACCATTGAAAGCCTATTCCACCTGGTAAGTATTTTGTATCCAGTTTCCCGTATTCTATTAGAAATAAAGGATTCAAGTGCAAAATACAAAACATGGTCTAATAGTTTATTGCTTTCAATAGTTCAGCTGACTCATAGACTTTCACTTTGAGAGTAAACAGTAAAGTAAAACCTTTGCGTAGCACTGCAAAGCCGGAAGCGGAGCCTGAATATGTGATTATTAAAGATGACTGTCCCTACGTACATCTATAACTACAGTTTATACCTAAAACAAGCTTTTAAAAAGGTTAAGACACATAGATAAGATTAGTTGCATAAGATGACACATTCAGCAAAGGACAACAACAAAGTCTTTATAAATTGGCAAAGTCTTGTAACAAAATCTTTTTTGGGGATTATTTCATCTCTGGAGCTATTGCACAGGGCAGCTTTATAACAGGCAAATGTGCTAGATTTAGTATTTAACACATTATTAAACTACAGTTTTGATCTTTCATAAATAGACAATAGTGATTACTATTGTGCTCAATGTAACTATAGGCCTCATTATTCCTATGAAGATCTGAGGGTCAGGATTGACTGGAGTACTGAAAGCCAGAGTACTTACTTGTTGAATTCTTGCCTTCTCTTATAACCCACTTCTTTAACAGCATAAAGCTTTGTGTGGTCAAAGAATTAGGATTCTCAACACGAATCTGATTAATTTCATCAACTGAAAAATTCAATTCTCTTGCAAGCTCTGAAAAAAATATGAAAACAAAGCACATCAAAGAACAGATGTTTCAGATGTCCATTAAGACTGTTCACTCATTCTGCCCCTAATAAAATTATAAAAAAGTTTTCATTGTGGTCAGGTGACTGTGGCTCAGTTTTATCACCTCCCTTAATGATGTAAAGACATAAATAAACTTGACAGATTATTTACAAATCGAGCTATGGCGATGGTCACAAGCATACGATAAATGATACAGGTTGCCTGATTTGTGTACCTGTTCCAGCTTAGTAACTCAGAAAGTACTGAAACCACTGCATCAGAGAAGAATCAACGGAGCAAGCATTTTTTGTAGTAGGGGAGGTCAGCCTATATCTTTTACAGCACCGGTTTCCATTAAGACTGAGGCCTTTTATGGCCTTCTCCAAAAGGCAAGGTCTTAATTGTATTCACAGATCATCAGCACATAACAAGAGTAGTACATTCTATTCAGCATAATCAGATGCCAGTGCTGTCCCTGTACAGTCTGCTCATCTTTGTATGAAGTATAGCGTTCTAAGTACTTGGAATTCACCTAAACAGGGTTCACACAATTAGAACTGAACTGCTGGCAGAGTAGAGGAACAGGGCAAATCTTTTAGTCATCACTTCAGGCACAGCGGGCGCATTCTCTTTTAGCTTCTCTTCCCACACCCTTAGCATAGGCTTTGTTTAGGTATGGCTTCTAATCTTGTTTTTGCCATGCTTCAATTAGCCAATTGGCTTGGGTGACAGGGGGAGCACAACTAAGTTGGCCTAGTAGAGCATTAAATATAAATCCAGCTCTTAATAGTTGTGATGCAGAAAAAATGGAGGAAAGGATGTGAAGTCTATATAGCAACATACAAATGCTAATTTTAATTTTTTGAAGTGAGCATCTGTATGAGCATTAACTCCACTCTGCAAGGTATGGTGCAAAGCTGCCTGCATTGTGCCAACTCTCAGTACTTCTCAAAGCATGGTCACTTGGATAGAAATTGCATATCATTTTATACAGTGAAACTTTCTAGTTCATTTACATTTTTGTGGTGCTGGCCAACATGCTACCCTAGTAGTCAAAACTGTCCCCCTTTTTCCATCTCAACAATAGTCCAAAGTCTTGATAAAAGTACCTTCCAAGTATTTAATTGGAAGGAGAGCCTAATGGTAAAGCATTCATGTAAACATTAGTTAACATAATGAATGCAAATTGTAGAAAACAATAGCTGGCTTTCCTTTATAAAGGAAATTATACCATTATACTCTTTACTTTTTAATCACATCTTTTAAAATGTTATGAAACCATTTTGTCTTACCTGTCCAACTAAGTCCTAAATGATCAGCAACTATGGCCATCCGTATGTCAGTACGTTCGCATGGACTCTGTGGACCTGAAATTTACAAAGGTACAATTAAAACAACATTTTGTTGTGTCACACGTATGTCAGAGCTGTGGATCTATTCTACTAAATAAAAAAAACTGTGTGTGATTAGTGATTTTCAAAATTAAATTGACTATTACAGCTTGTACTTTTGTATTTGCAATGAGTACAGTTTAAGTAAGTGAGCACAGTTACTGAATGGAAGTAGACATGCTAGTTGAGTGTACAGAAGGTGCGTACAAGTGTTGGATGGTGTTGTCTATGTACAGGCTAGAAACATGTTTATAATCATGGGTAGTGTAATTTCTCTGAACGTTTTGGCATGCTTCTCTAACTAACTAGTGTATGTTTTCTAGACACACAGAACGAATAGTGTGGACAACAAACACAGATGACAATGGAAGAATGGAAACTAACAGAGGTCACTCCACAAGCAATCACGACAGGTCATGCACTAAGGTCAACAAGTTGAGAGGTTTACAAACTAGGCTGGATTTCCACGATGTGAGCTATTACAGCTCAAGAAACCTGACTGCCTTTATTCTCACCAGTCCTTCTACTGCTCCTTCTCTCACTGTCGGTCTTTTCAATCTTTGATTTTAAAGATGTTGCGTCTGCTTTCAAGTCTTTAGCAGACCTCGATGTTACTGAAGGCTGGGACACTTGGGTGGCTTCAGATAATGACGTATTTTTCGATGTACTGTCTTCATCATCAGAGAGGTCAGGCTGCATCTTTTTCTCTTCATCAGAAAGGCGGTCCACAAGCTTTAATGTCTCACCACTAATTCCCTTAAAATATTCAATAGAGTGTTTACAAACCTCACTGAACTCATGATTCTTTACTTTGGCTGCAGAAGTGGCAGAAGGCAAAGATCTTACCTTTACTGGTAACTTTGAAGGAGTTGGTTTAGTTGCCCCCTTCTCTATTGGTTTCTGCTTAGGTTTTGGTGTAGCTTTCCTCTGTATTGTTGTATTTACTTTACTTATGTTTTTAATAGGGATCTTAGAAGACCTACCATCTATACTGGATATGTGTTCCTGTCTTGTATCTTTCTCGCTCTTAACAGGCACCGTCCTTCTACTGAATGAAGTGTTTGCATTGCTGGACTGGTTACTTACTGGCTTAACTGATATGGCTTTAACTGGCAGTTTAGATCTTGGCTTACTCCCTGGTGGATCTGTCTCTTTCTGTTGATTTTTTTGGGCTCTTTTCATTTCCCTAGCAATGTCTAGGCTAGCTGTCCCCTGTTCTTTATTAACATTTCCCTTCGTTTTGCTACATTTGTCCACAGACTTGGATTCACAGTCTTTACTCAATACCAAATTAATTGCATTATTATTTAAACTTAAAGCTAATGAATCCAAGTTGTTGTTATTGTTATAGTTTTCTGTCTGAAAATCATGTATTTCTATGTGACTAATGATTGTCTCACTGGTTGATATGTTTGACAAAACAGTCTTATCATTATCTAGTAAATGAGAATCTGGCACAGCCTCTGTTTTATCTGCCACTTCTCCAGTGCCATCTTTCTTCGTGCTCATTGTTGAGGCAGATATGCCCATCTTTATAGGTGTGCGCAATTTAGGATCAACTTTACAACTGGCAGTAGCTGTTGGTTTCTCCAATGAATTATTACCATTTGTTGCATCAAGACAATCTCCATTTCCCTGGATGGTAGAATGTTCAACTGCAGATGTCTCTACTTGTTTTTCTAGGATGGGATCTACCAAGATGTCCCCTGACTGTGGAGGTGTGATGGCAGTAATTTTGTCCCCTTCCCCCTTGTCCCCTGACTTCCCTTCAGAATTATGCTCACCAATCTGGAAAAATTGGAGTCTTTCTTCAACAAAATCCCTCTTGCTCATGTCAATAGCACCACTGCGAGTCATCTCAAACATCTTCCCTTCATGAAACGGGAAGGGATTGGGCTCACTAGTTGGTGTACTTTCATCTGTAGGAGTTCTGGCTGGAGTTGTGTCTGGTGTAGTTGCTTGGGAACGATCTTCTACAGCTAGACTAAAAGGCTTGGGTTCTTCATCTTTGGATTTTGTTTCAAACACATCATCATCTCCTGGTTTACTGGACCAAGGATCAAAGTCAAGGCTCTTGGTAGCTACTGTTTTGAAAGGTGTTGCAAACTCTTCGTCTACCTTGTAACTAAAGTATGTGTCTGGAAACACTGGTCTATCTGGATGCCTTCCTTCCAAGGAATAGCACGGTGCCTCTTGTTTCTTGTCACTTTCATCAGTGTTCTTTTCACCATCGGATATTTTTCTGCATGGCTTGTATTCCTCAGTTACTCCCTTTTCTTCTTCTATAACTTCAAGTTTACTCTGGCTAAAACTGCGATCACTAAGTTTCAGAACACTCTCTTTAGCCCATGGCTCCTTTTTTACTTCAACATCCTGCAACGGCCCAAGTTTTGTCTCAATCTCAGTCAGCCCATCATCTTCATCTTGTAGATCATAACCATCCAGAGAATCAATCTCAGTTGCATCAGTATCGTGTGAGAATTCTGCAGTGGTTGCTATAGAACAGTCAGTAATAGACTGGTCATTACCATTACCATTTTGCTCTAGGTCATTAGATGGGGAGGTTAAACCCATATCTGTTTCATTGGATTGTTTTTGAGGACAGGGCTTCCCAGAACAATTTATCTTTGTACATTCTTTTACTTCTTCATTTTTCATTTTAAATGTATACTTTTTAATTGCAATAGGCTGGAGAACAGATTCATCATCACTTGAATCACTGGCATCGAATTCAAGGGGGACAGGAGACGGTGGTTGCACTTTAATTACTGGTTCAGCTGAAAGAAATTTGTCCTGATCATCTTGTAAATTAACTTCAGTAAGTTCCATTTCACTGTCTGTTGAATTCTCCAGATTTTTTCTACTTGAATCACTGTTTTCAGAATCTAGAGGAGGTGGAGGGGGAAATTCAATATATGCCACTCTATTGTCCTTTGTTCTTTTATATGAGTCCTTGCTAAGTGTTATTGGTTTTGCTATGTCATGATTTTGGGCATCTGGGATGCTTTGTTTAATGGATGGTAATCTGACTACATCTTCCTCCTCTGATTCTTCAGAGACTTCAGGTATTGGACTTGGCATTCCTGGTATATATGGCATTAATGAGTCAGGAGTTTTGGAATTAAATTCATAACTAACTTCCTCTGAACTAGGTGTCTCTGGAGTTAAAGGACTTTTTCCTGAGCTATCTATAAAGGACACTTGTTCCAGGGTATCATCTTCAGGGCTGCCCTGAGGAGATGGGGGCTGTTTCTGTGGTTTAATAGAAAAAAGTGTACCTCTTGTTTCCTGAACTGTCCTACTCTCTTGGCTAACTACTGTTTTAACACCTCCCTGCTGCACCTCTTTCTCATATTGTTTTCCTACCTGCACAATACTAACATAAACTGGTAGTGTTTTTATCTCCTTTAACGCTTCTGCATTTGCTATTGAATTTCTGTCCTCAGATGTCATAGATTCATGCAAGCCAGCTAATCTGTCTTTGCTAGGACTATTGTCTAAAGAATCTGGGGATTGCTCAGTATCTTCATTATAAGGTGAAAACCCTAGATAATCTTGTACATTGCCTTGCAGGCCACTACTAATGCGTCTATTGCTTTCATCAGTAATAAAAGCAGAATGAAGAATATCAGGCTTAACCTGCTTAGTTATTGATGATATTAGTGTATTAGTACATTCCCTATCAATTTTTGATTGGCTACTAATATTATCAACACTGCTTAATCCTTGCTTCTCGTCAGTAACTCTACCAGAAATATGAGAATCTGTCCCTACTTTCCTGCTCTCAGATTTTTCTTCACTGGTATATCCTACATCCTTACGAGCAAGTTCAGTGTATAAAAGTTTTTTAGAAGGAGATTTAACATAATTCTCCTTTATTTCTTCCGTGGAAGATCCATTCCTGGTCGGTGTTTGCTCTTTAACAGTTTGTTGGGCTGGAAGATGAGTACCATCCATTTCTGAATCTTTGTCCTGTATGATAACATGTGTATGCTTTTCCTTCTGTGTTTTCTGATTAGCGCTGCCAGACATTTCCCATGTTCTGTAAACTTTCTTGTCTGGGGAAACAGTATGGCCAGTTGTTGTGTTTGCTGACTGTGGCAGAAATTGCTCTTTTAGTCCTCCAATCAATTTGTCAGGTTTCTGATCTAAAAATCCAGCACTATTTTTAATCTTTTCCTTGAATTTGGAACATTCTTCATTAATGGCTTCAGTAATGGACTCCTTGAGCAAAGGTAGCTCTCCATTCATTTCATCAATTGTCTTTTGTTGTTTATCCTTTGTGTGGAACTGAAAAAATGGAAGTCGACGGTCCTGTGTTTTTTTTACTGGAATTTTTGATGGAGACTCATGCTTTTTTTCATCCTGTGAACTGTCCTTGTTTTTAAGATTTATACTTTGCTCAAATTTTAGTTTAATAGAGCTAAGCTTTGATTGTGTTAGTTGAAAGCCAGATTGTGACCCTGATTGTTGACTCTCTGCCTTGTGGTCAAAAGCCCTCTTTTCCGGACTGCAAGGCAAACTTGTAGCTTTTCGGTCATCAGCCAAGGTGACACATTTTCCATCGGTCATAAACTGGTGAGTTTTTGTCCAGTCATCACTGGATGTTCTCATTTCAGTAAACTTAATTTTCTCAGGACTACTGTTAGTAGAACTGCAACCTGAGGTTACCTCGTTTCTGCCCTTTCTGCGGGGTGTCTTCTCTGGTGACTGAAGCTCATCATTTAGTTTCTCAGTTTTGTCCCGAAAAAACTGTGATACTTCAGTCAATTTTTCTTCTGCCTCTTTAACAGTCCTGTCTACTCTGTCTTCATATAACAACTTCTCTCTACCCCTATCTAGCCTATCCTCAGTAAATCGCATCCACATTGCATGTTTGGGGCTTTTGGGATCTCCAGCATAATGCAACACTGTCACTTTATCACGAGAGTCATCAGTGGACATTTTACCTACACCATTTTCAGTTACATCTTTGTATATTTTTGAAAGAATTTCCTTTTTAGGAGTGGGGATCACTTTTTCTCTCTCTCTGCAGTGCTTTTCAGTGCGGTGGAAGTCCGACCCAAGGAGTAGAGCATGGTCTGATTCCTCTGCGTCATCTAGTTTTTCAGAAAGGAGCATTTTTTCAGCAAATCGGTATGACTCCCCTCTTAGTTCTGATAATTCATCATCATGATACTCTACTGAATGCTGACTTAATAATTTTAGTGTTTTGTATGAGTCATCAGAGATAAGCTGAGCTGAACTTGGGCGGCTGTCTTCTTCTTGAGATAATGGGGTATTTACTCTTGAGGACTCTAAATAAGATGGCAAAGACTCTTCTGCTGTTAGCTCCTCTTCTTCAGCCTGCCCTTGCTCATCTGAGTATGGAAAGATTTTACTTCTTTCTGTTACCATATCTTTGTTGTTTAGATCTCCCTGACTTAAGTCCCTTTGATAAACATACATCTCCTTTTCTGGATGTTTTTTTGTTTCTCTAATAATGACTTCTGTAGGTTCAGCTTGGTTACCTTTTTCAATATGGACCTCAATTATGCGCTCCAGTTTTGGTTTCATTTTGGTGTCCCTTTCAGCAAGTTGTTGTGGGCTCTCTGTACACTTCTTAACATCCGAAGCTAGTGACGTTTTGTGTTCAAACAGACCTGCCAGCTCTTTAGATGGATCTCGGCCCGTCTGGAAAGCTTTCATTATGTCATGGACAGACATAGTTTCCTCTATTCTGTCAGATTTTTCAGAAGGAGGAGGTTGATGATAAACCATTCTTGTAGTAGTTGTGATATGAGTTTCTTCTTTTACTCTTACTCCCTTTCCCAACACCCCTGTATGGTCTTCTTCATCGATTCCAGCTTTAAGCTGAAATCCCTTACTTTTGGCTTTTATAGATCCAGGTGAACATTGTTCTAGCTCCATAAAAGATTTATCTGATTTCATATGTTGAGTTTCCCCTTTTTCAGATTCCATAACCTCCCCACTTGATGGCTCATAGCTTCTTATAACATGTACAACTTCTGTTCTTGTTTCAGTAATCACTGGTGGGATTGGCACATCATGAAAAAGTGGCTTAGGACCAGTGCTTTCAGCACTCTGAGGAGCAGATGGAGTTTTTTCACTTCTTGTTTCAAATCCACTATCAGACAAAGGACTTTTATCCTGCTCATGTTGTGAAAAATCATCTGGTGACTCTAAAATCATGTCTGTTCCAAAGACAGAGTCTGCAATTTTACACAACTCTTTTTCAGAAGCTGAAGATCTCATTGATGATGGGGGCATTTTGAGTTTATGATCCTGTAGTGCTATAGCTGGTTTCAAAACTCTTTTTTGCTTCTCCTCTCCTTCTTTTTTCCCATCATCATACTTGTATTTCAAGTTTGAAAATGTGCTCCCACCAATGTCATTTGTCAAGTAATCAATGACCTTTGTTAAATTATAGTCTTTTTCTGATAACGTTCTAGATTTTAATTCCACTTTGTCTGTTGGGTAAAATAGTGGGGTGCTGCTGGAACACTCTCTAGCTTCTTCAAGGTCGTCCCTACTAAATTCTACCCATTCATCTTCTGGTGATTGCCCCTGAGCACATGCAGCTGCCATTTTTTCCAAAAACACATCTTTTTTCAAAATTTCACTGACTTTGACCAGGTCTTCTTTTACTTTCTCTACAATTTTAAATGGCTCTTCATCTTCAATTCTAACTTCCTTAGTTACTTCTGAGTGGTATGGTTTATCCTCAGAAATATCAGTCTGTAAAATTGCTGTCATCCTTATTAAGTCTTCTTTCATATCAGCAACATCTTTTAAGATCTCCTGACTTGAGGACAATGGAGAGGTAGCAGATAACTTGAGGGCAGCAGGAGACAAAAATAAGGATGTTTTAAGAGGCGAAGATATTCGACTAAACTGACTGGTTGTCTCTGCTGATGCATTTTTTGATGGTGATAACAGAGCAGCAGCAGATTTAGTCAATGATGCAGACTCTGTCAGTTTCTTTAAGGTTGGTTCTGACAAAACATTTACTACAGAATAAACTGGTACAGTAAAGGTTGATGATGTAACAGATGAGGTAGTAGAGGACATAGCAGACCTAAAAGATGTGTACACTGCACCAGTAGGGGGAGTTCTTATGGTCTGAAAAGCTGAAGCTGTTGATGCAAAAGACTTGAGAGGTGAATATGACATTTGCGAAGTAGTGGGAATGGAGTAGCTTTTTTCAGCGGTGTCAATTGTTGTGCTAACTGAAGCTGTTGCTGATTTTGTAACTGCCGATATTTTATCTTGCAAATTTACAGCTGATCCGTTGATGTAATTTGAACACAGTGGGTACTTTAGAGGTGAAGCAGACCCATTCATTAATCCAACCTCACTTGGACCATTCCCAATCTTTAATGGTGAAGAAAGAGTAGATGCAATGTTCACTTTAGAAGCAGTGGAGACTGCGGGAGAAACCACTGATTTTAGAGCTGAAGATGAAAGTGACCCTGCAGAAGTAATGATTGATTTAAATGGCAAAGTTGAAGAATACATATTGATGTTAGATTTAGGGGAGGCTGGAGGTGTCATTGTAATGGATGATCTTTCTAAAAGAGACCCAGCTGTGGTCACTGGAGAAGTTCTGGAAGTGAAAACTGAGGTGGAAGACAATCCCTTGAAAGCAGGAGCTTCTGCCATTGTTGAAGCCCTAATTGGTGAACCAACAGATCCTTGAATTGTATACGGGGGTTGAGACACAACAGTTTTTATTGGCGAAGCGATTGTCCGAAATGATCTTATTGGTGATGCTACATCACTAACAGATTTAACAGAAGATGTAGTAGAAGCTCCTAGTGTGGATTTTATTGGAGAAGCAGAGGAGACAGACCAGATTGATTTTAATGGGGATGCTGATGGTGTATTGGAGGAAGAGCTTGACAGGGAGGTAAAGCCTGATTTGGCCTGCCCAGGGACTGTAATTGGAGCAGTTGTCCATGACTGATAGGGTCTTGTTTGAAAGCCTGGCTTGTATGCATAAGTGGCAGGGACAGGTCTTGTTGTTCCTGTGCTCCGTTCAACCGGTTCTTTCATGAGTAAATCAAAATTAAATGCAAAATTAACAAAAAATGATTGGAAAAACAGAGAGACCAGAGAAAAAAATTTGTCAGTAACGATTATATAATTTCAAAAAGCAAGTACAATTGTTTATATGAGTCAAAATGATGAGTGTGGTGATATTGAATGGACTCAAATAAAATAAATGGCTGGGGCTGCATGGATGTAAAATGAGCAAAGGATATAAGCAACAAAGAAAAAGTCATGAAGCCAAAAAAAACAATGAAAGACAGAAAAGACAACACATAAAAATGAACTACAAACACACACTGCTACTCAAGCTTCCTATTGACTTTCTGATGTGCCGTTTAATAATAAAACAAGCTGTATTCCCCTGCAAAATACAGTATAGTTGTGTAGAGTTAGTGCTTGGAATTAGTATTGTCTTTTGCGCTTTCTCTGGTTGTACATTGACAGACACACTACTGTTAACTGAAAACAATATCAACTACAACATTGGTAATGTAATCAGAATCTTTCATGCACACTCCAGATTCATGTATATGACAAGCATGTACAGTGCAAAATGTGGGGAAACCTTCAAATATATATCTCTCTCATGCAAAATTTAGAAAAAAGTTGCACAATCACAAAGCCAATAAGATCCATTTTTTTTCGGAACAGTTCTGTTTACATTGTAGTTTATCTTGCATTTTTCATGCGTTTCTTAATTTCATTTTTCTGATAAAACCAAATTAAAACATAACATGGAATTAATTGGAAACCGCTGTGTTTTGATGACATGTGAAATGTGTGATTGAGGAAATGGTCAAGCAAGGTTAACTAAAAATAAGTTGTGAATTTAGCGTGCATGAAATGTTATGTTGGAACAAGCAATGGGTTATGAAATTGTACCTTTAAAATGCATATTATACAAATATTTTCCAAAGCCAGTCACTCAACAGCCATCATATGGCTTTGTGCAAAGAACTTCCCTCCCAACCGGACCACAATAAAATTCATACCAACCAAGTACGGTTACACTAATGGCCTTAAAATAGTTACAAGACTGGTCTTGGAAAACCACTGCTTACTATGGACAGTCATATTTTTTTTTTCAAAAGAAGAGTTTACCTTTAGCACACTGTCATGACATCAGTTTCTTGTGTGTATCAGTGTAATTTTTTTGACAGAATGCCATAAAATTTATTTTGAGACCAAAACAGGAAGAATTAATTAATTAATAATCTTATTTTTAATTTATTTAATGTCTTGCTAAGCTCAACTCAAACTTTTCCTCTGTTAAAAAATATGCAGTTGGACACTACAGAAATGATTAATTTAAGATACATTTCTACAACTTGTCAGCACCTGAAAGTTGCAAAAAATTAGGTAGACAGACCTAGAATCTAAATACAAAGAAGGCTAGAGATGTGTGCTGGGAGCTAATTTTTTATTTAACATTTAAAAATGTTTTATTTATAAAGATAGAAAAATACAGAGAACAGGAAGATATACCAAATATCAAATATAGTCAAGAATAAGCATCATCATAAAATAGAACCTGGGAGCTAATTTGAGCTGACAGCATGGAGGTGAAAGTTCCTCATTTCAGTCTGACAGTTCCCTTCCAGCCATATATACTGTATGTAGGAACTAAGTTTAGTGTACCATCCTGGTTGCATGAAATAACAGCATACTCATGGTTATATTGGACAAGTGTCAATTAACTGAGCAAGATATTTGTTGACTTGAACAGGGCATCACTTTAAAGCAAACCTGTGCAACAGGTTTATTTAACATACTTTCTCACCTCAACATTAACTTACTTTTGCTTTGCTCTGGCCAGTACTTATGTGTATATAGGAGAATGTGACCTACCCCAAGTGACATCACTGGACCAATCAACACTGCCACACAGGGTGTCCATAGCCCTGTATAAGCTAGAACTCTAGCAACTTATATGCTACTTGTGGCTGAAGAGAGTGGTGAGGGAATTAAATGAAGCTAAGTATATGCTAGGGCTGGGTTCAAGTAAACACATGGCCAAAGAACGGGTTCACATTAAAGTAGTATCTTATTCTCATTTACATATTTATATGGAACTACAAGTGCTCTAGAAACACTGACCAGTTAATTTCTGGCAAAGTAGGTTCTCTTTTTGTGTAACAAACCCCACTAGTTTAATGCTGCAGGTAATACACTCATAACTGGCATATTAGCTCAGTTAGTTTGGCATTTAATAATTACTTGTATAGTTATGAAAGAATGCAAAATCAATGCATACCCAAACCTTAAAATTCCTTTTTATGGCATTCTTAGGATTCTGCAACAAAATGAAGTATAACATATACTAAGTATGCTATTCTCCTTTACTGTTTAGGTGAAAACTAATGTATTTATTTCAAATTTCTTTCTTTTTTTGCATCCTTCCAGACTCCAGGCATTTTATGTGGTCATAATTGTAGAAATAACATGCCGAACCACAAAAGTCCTCGGCACTAGACAATATTTATTCATGTATTAAGTTTTACATCATCCAAATGCACAGGGATCAAAAAGTAAGACAAATCACTTTAAGGATCCCAAAGTATCCAGCATTTTATATTATTGTGAAATTTGTGATATACAGTATATTTCCAAAAGTCAAAAAATTATCTGATGTCAAAAAGTAAACTCTTTTTTTCAAAGTAATTAGTATTGTTAGAAGGTTATTAAACTCACTCATTCCAGGCTCAGTCAAATAGCTGTATCGCTTACGCAAGGCTAAAGACACAAAGTTCTGACGACGGTCCACTTTCTCCATCTGCAGAGAAAATTAAAACAAATTCAAAATGATTACATCAGTTTACTACTTATTTTCAGCCAATGGTATGAATGCTAATGGTGCCAGATAATGCTTATACATTAAATGAAACTTATACATTAAACAAAATAAACATATTACACACATCACACAGAACAAACAACACAATACATGGCTTTCTCTAGTGCGTTACATTTAACATTAAACATTTAGAATGGAAAAAAAACATTAGTTGGTATGCTAACAACAAAGGATTTGTTAGAGGCAAGCTTTTGGTAGAACCTTTATTATCTTAAAGGGTCAGTCCACACAGAAAGTGATATGCCAGTATTTAGTAGATACTGGAGTGGTAAGCCAAATGATTTCTTAAATCTTATGTGGGGACTCTGATGACACATCCCAGGTATGTGCAACTGCTACAGCCATTGTGAGGGGATCCCACTCTTACTGTTGCACATTTCATATTTTGTATATTATGGAGAATGCAGTGGAAGAAGTAAGAACCTCTCAAGGTGAACAAGAAAACCAGAACATCCAAGGTAGGTGGTAACTGAGTCAGGGACCATACTTCCTGGCACTATTCCCACCCACCTTGGAGTCCTAGAGAGAATCACTGGAGTGTTCAAGCTATATAAGCAGCCAATAGGTGGCGCGGTCCTACTTGTAACTGAAATATCACTTTTTAGTTGCCTAACCCTTGCATGATAAACCTTTTCAGTGCAATTTACACTCTGGAAGTTTAGGAATAATTTAATTTCACTACTATGAGGATTTTTTTAAATAACTACTTTTTGACACTGCAGTGAAAGAAGATTTTTTTTTCTGTTACCTTTGTGATATTTTGTTTAACTGAGATAACATTTATAACTTTGTACTATAATTAGAAACCAAAAAGAGAAAAATGTGTTTCCCAGTTTTGGAAAAGGTACACATGCTTTATAACATAGGACAGGTGCATAAGAACATATTCAGTTGGTAAGCAGGTATAAGCGAATAATGCCTGTGCCAAAGGCTAGTCTACCAAAAAAATTGGATTTGTTTCTAAGGAAGGGAGGATCCCCTTTATGCAGTATGGGCAAAGAAAATGGAGGGAAAGAAATGAGTGAAGGAAAGAGGAAAGAAAAGAGTGCAGAGCAGGTAAAATAAAATAAAGGAAATAAATGAACAAGCCAAGATGAAAGAAGATGAAAGGAGAGAAAAGAAATGAGGGGGTAGGAGATAACACAAAATAAGGAGGACAGAGGAAAGAAATGTTGACAGAGGAAAAGGAAACAGAGTAGAGATGAAAGAAAACAAGGAGGAAAAAAAAGAGGAAATGAAACAAAAGGAGAAGAGGAGAATAACAGGAGCAATAGGAGAGAAGATCGAGAAATAAAAGAAACAATAAAACATGACTGAAAGAAAAAAAAAAGTAATAGAGGACATAAAAGGAGAGGAGATCAAAAGGAACAATGGGAGAGGAAAGGAATTGAAACAAGGGGACAGGATAAGGACACACACACACAAAAAAAAGAAGAGGACAGCAACAGAAACACGTGAAGAGGGAAGGAATCATGGTGATAGAAGGAAACTAGAGGAAAGAGAAAGGAGAGTAAAATGAGAGATGAGAAAAGGAAACCAAAAAGGAGAGGAAATTATAAGAGATGAGAGTAATGGAAATCAAAAGAGAGGAGAAAAATACAAATGAGAAGATAGGAAAGCAATGATGGAGAAAGAAAATAAATGAAGAAAGAAAACTAGGATAGAAGCTGTGCAAGAAAAGATAAAGAGATGCAGAAAAAGAAATGAAAAACAAAATGTATTGTAAGTGAATAGCTTCTAAACTGGAAACTAAGTTACGTAGAAAGAGACCACCAACCATTTTTGTCTAGACGCTTACAGAATACACAGGCTGCATAGTTCAGCTTTGACTTACTAGGTATGCACTGTGCACCCTGGAATCATAGACAAGATGGCATGCATATGTTTTATGAAGCCTGGGCATTTCATATGGGTCACTACTGACATGGCTGATACTATAACCATATCTACGGTTGATTAAAATAGAACAAAGTGCATGATTTTTACCTCATCATCTTGGTCTGACTCTGTTTCCTTTTGGATCCAATATGCATTGCAGAGATAAGGTAAATTATAGTGGGCAGCAGGGAAAGAAATATTAGGACATTGAAAGGGAGAGGCAGGCAGCAGCACAAGCACATGAACAGCAAACACTGACACAAGAAAATAAGTGGACAAAGAATTTAAGAACCAAATGTGAAGGAACACACAGATTTATCTAAAGAATACAAACTCACATTCTAAACTAAGTTATCCACTTTAACAGAAACCACAGTGATGACACCACATTGGAAACAACAGATATATATTATATGTTCCTATAGTCTATGTAAAATGTGAACATATTTCAGCAAAAGATGTCGCATCAGAGACTTCAAAAAGTACTCTTTGTAAAAATAGATTTTTTTTGTCATAAAAACAAAACAGCATCCAATCAACAAAAAAAGAGCAACGTTTTCATTCCATACTAGCTATTTTTCAAGCCAAACAAATCCTTTGCAGTCTCGGGTGCAGGGCACCTTTTGTTGACTATAGCATAAGGCACTTGTGGAGATTGTTTGTTGTGCACTCTGCAATTCACTGGTACAAAGTGTGAAAAGAACCATCCAAATGATGCATTACATTAAAGGTGCAATGGATTTCAACAGAATGTGGGCTGAATAAACAGAATGAATAGTTCACTTCGAACAGTAGGGGAAAACACCTTGTTTTATTTGGAGATATAATAATCTGTCTGATATAATAATGCATTCAGCTTCTTAAGCCTCCAGTCTGGCAAACCTTTTCCAGGAACTCAATTTATCCTTGTTTTAGATAGACTGGAGGTTTAAACCTAAATTATGTTTTCATTGCTGTCTGTTTCCATGTTCGGGAAGATTGGCCTCCCTTTTTTGTCCCAGAGACAGGGGTCATAATAAAATCCTGACATAGGTTTTAACCCTTCCCCACGCTATCAAAAACTAAACATTTTTGGCTTTTAAAAAAAAATTATTTATTTATAAACAAAAGAGAGGGGGTACAATGAGAAATAATTTAGAGGCCATATGGTCTCACACATCATAAAAGTATAAAATGTTGGCTTTTTAAAGTGGAAATGAACCCAAAGTGAAAATGGGCTGTCTCATAGGGAACATCTAGCAGGGTTAATTGTGTCTATGTATTATTCTGATAAAGGTACATTTTGTATTGAAATAATTTTGTCTTAAAATCGGTAGTGCAGTTGCTGGTATGTGGGGGTGTCTAGGAACACCTTGTCAGGCTCTGTCGAGGAATAATGTTTTCTGGATCGCAGCTGCGGAACGGTTACTGTTACTCGTTTAAAGGGGAGATCAGTGGACGGTTCGCAAGTACACTCAGTGTGATAGGGAAGCGGTACACATCATATACCCCGGCCTAGTTAGTGTATTTTTGGGCGGATGCTAGGTTGGATAGCAGTATTTTTATAATGTGGCAGCGTGATGGGATTTGTAATTCCCCAAGTGGTTCACTTCAACAGGGCAGCCTCTAGTGTTCCCGGGACTCCCTGTATCATACACAATACTCTTAGCGGACAGGGGAGTAAGAATGCCCTCAAGCTGAGTGTCAGCACAAGCACTTGAGTGCGTTTGCAACATGCAGGTGAATGGTTTAGATCCTTAATACAGTCTCTTGATCCCCAGTGACCGTAGCCTACGATATAGCTTGCATGACAAGTTTCCCACAACACAGCGAGAACGATTCCACAAAATGAAGTAGCAACTAAGGTATGGAGGGAGACCCCCTTTAGTTGCAAACCTGGTATGGACTAGATACTAGGTACAGGCTTTTCCACAATAATGATCACAATGAATAGTCCTAGTAGCAGCCACAGTTCTTTGATACAGATAGTTTCCACTAACTTAGATGAATTAACAACTGAGGTATAGGAAGATTCCCCAGTGTACTTGCGGTTCTGGTGTTGGGTCTCAAGCAGGCTAGCTCCAACAGGTGGGATCGGGTATGAGCTAGATGCAGCAGTAACCAATGCTGCGGCGTCCCTGGATGTCAGTCTGCGGTCAGGAGATCCTAACACGGCTGTTGGGGTTCAGTAGAGCGCACAGGGTCCTTGCTTGACGTTCCACAATGATAGAATGCCGAGTGAGTGACTCACGTGTGAATTTGAGGAGGAGTCGCGGTCAGTCGGAGGAGCCCTGTGTGACGTCACGGATGGGACGACGTGGCGCTGGACCGGAGGGCTGCGCCGGGTGAGTCTCTGACACACCTATTCTGTTGCTTCATAGCTGTGTGCCTGCAGTGTAAGATCTCTGCAGCCTCTGACTGCTAGTCTCAGGAGATTTGCAGTGAGATTTGGTGATGTCACTATTGCACTGCTCACTGTTCTCCTTGCTGAAAGCTCCAACTTGCAGAAGCAAATCCCTGCTTCCTCCACATAGAGATATCAGGCTCACTTCACACAGCTTTAACACAGGGATAAGTATCTATATTTTAGCCATGTGACTGTAATCTTCATCACCACATCTCTCCCCACACTGCAAGGGTTAAATGTTTGCTTTTGCTTAGGGGATGAGGAATATGGAGTAATAGTTACCTTACTCCTGCTCCAGAAGGCACCCTATGTGACCAGTGCAGCAAAGCCTCCTCTCTAAGGCGCTCTTGGCGGTGGGTAGCACCCCTGCATTCTCTACATACAATCCAAAGAGAAATAGGAGCGAGGCGCTGGATTTAGATCCTCAACCAAAAAAAACATGTCCTGAATTAAGCAAAAGAGCTTTGGATCAGCAGCTCTACATTAAATGGGGGAACCCCAAACTGACAGGGGTTACCCAAATCAATATGTTTTTCAAAAGTTTAACCAGAAATAGATGCCAAATAAAAAGTCCAAAAATTATTTTATTGATTCTGTGGAAGGCAAACAGGAACTACAAAATGCATCTAACATGTTTCGGGGCCAAACAATCCCTCTCCATCAGGGCCACAAAAATACTTAAAGTTTAGCAATACACGTGGGACCCATTCATTCAAAACCTTGATAAAATAAAATCCGAGCAACGTTTACGAAACAATTCACAGAGTATCCACTAGAGTAAAAACTCAGATAGAAATGACGACATCTAAGTACAAGATGAAGAAATAAGTATAAAATCTGCTGAGTTACATATTACAAAATATATGCAATACCTGCATAACACCTCTGGGGGCGTATGTCTGTGATCTTATAACTTTACACAACTATAAGAAATCATTTCAGCAACATATATTTGTAGGCTATATTTAGATAGCTAAACATCTATGCTAACTATAGAAACTGTTTGGTATACTAATCATCAAGGGGGGGTGGAAAGAGTCAAAATCAGGGGCCACAACATTTGAGCACGCCCCAGATAAATATATACATTCCTATATAGCAAAACATATCAAATCCACAACTCTGCCCTGGCTAGATCTCAAACCTTGTATCAAAGTATCACCCTAACCGTCCCCTCCGCTCTTCCAAAGACCTCCTGCTTTTTAGCTCCCTCGTCACCTCTTTCCATGCTATTTACCCCAACCTGTTCATCTATCTCCTACTCTGACTGCCTTTAAGCAATCCCTAAAGACTCATTTTTTCAGGGAAGCCTATCCCGCCTCAAACTAGCCACTGAGCCATCACGTTCTCAAACAACTCATCCCCTCACAGCTCCCTCCTTGTGTATCACTGGCCCTTCCCCTTTAGATTGTAAGCCCTGACGGACAGGGCCCTCCTTACCATCTTGTCTTATATTGTTTGTAACTGTAATGTCTTCCGTATATTGTCAAGCACCACACAAACTGTTGGAGGTATATAAATTCTCTATAATAATAATATCACAGGTATGAAGCTGAAAAATTAAAACATCAGCACTGTCAGAAATAATGATAAAATACATAGTAAAAAATGCGTTGGCTGCCTTTTGTTTTTCCTGCTTGTCACTGATGGAATAAAAGAATGTTTGGACTCTCAGAATGTTTGTTTGGTGCTCTTGGCCTTGCATTGTATGTGATGATGCCAAGAGTCTTCCCACAGCCCTGAAGTGTCAGGGAGAAAAAGAGAACTCCAAAGCCATCTGGAGCAGAGGTTAATGTAGGTAATGCATTATTTTCATCTCCCCCTAGACTTGCCTTGCTGTGCCTGTGTGTTTGTGGAGACACACACAGCTTGCTAGCACACATAAGGGTGGCCCCATAGCAAAGGAGCCACCCTAAAACAGGCTATCAGCGCCAGTGCTCAGTGGACCATCTGATTCTGTAGGAATCTAAAAATTTTAAACATAAAAGAGCGGCATCCATTGTAAGTGATTTTATCGGCATTGAAAATAGCTAAAAAACCTCTTGCGTTTAATGTCACTTGAATGAACATTTAACCCTTGCAGACTAAGTGGAGCCCCCAAGCAAGTTTTTTTTCCCGCCCAGAGTTCAACCTTAATTTAAAATACTTTTTTCAAAAAAAGCTATCCTTATTCTGGTGCGTTAGCTTTGCAAATTGAGCCTATAGTGCAGAACAAGATACAGTATGTTAAGTCAATAATAAGAAGAGATCAGCTGCAGTGAGACCACAGGCAATAATTGTGACTGGTGCTTTGTCCCTTCCCTGACTATTTTGGTCATAGCTTCCAGAGTTCAGCTGCTTCATAAAATATCTTGTGGATGCCAGTGGTTAGATATCTCTACCAGAATGCCCAGTTAATTCTTTGGCCAAATAAATGATGGTGCCACACTGACCCCCTGAATTCTCTAAAATGCAGATTAGGCAAATAACTGGGGAGTCCAACTGCAAAAGAGTACATTTGTATATTGCCTTGAGGAAGGGGATTGCAATGTTAAATGTATGATGCTGGCAGGTGATTCAATCCATCAGTGCACATCCACAGCAAAAAATATCAAATTAGGATTGAGTTGCTCTTAAAAGTAGGGTTATTTTGACAAGTAAAGAACATCTAATGGCTAGGAGAACTGTAAAGTAACAGCACTCTTCAGGACACAGTTGGAAGATACATGCAATTAAAATAGGTCCTCTTCTAGCATGCAGACATCTATGATAGCTGAGGACTGTTTTATTAGAACTAACCCTCCCCCCCCCAGAGAACTCACAGTAGTCACAAGATATTTCATATGTTTGCTAAGAGCTGTATGAAAAGCCCAATCTGCCTTTCCCCAAAGGTAGTCAACATTTACTGATGCAAAACAACAGATCATTTAAGCACTAATATGTTTTCAGTGTATTCTGACATGATTTTTATGTGATGATGGTTCTACTGTTGTTGATACTCATTAAGTTCAGGTATGATAATTCTTAGGTTCAGGTTTGGAGGTTAAGCTTACTTTAAGGGCTAGGTATAAGGGTTAAATTAAGATTAGGATTAATTTGGGTTGAGAATAAGGCTCAAGGGGTTAGTTTTACATGTTACATTGAGGTCAAGAGTAAATTGTGTACCTATTATTGGGTTTTTAAAAGTTATTTTTTGGGGGTATAAATTAATTGATGCAGAAATTGGCACACAATAAACAACCACGTTGATTCACCAAAACAGTTCAGTACTTCATATGAACTTATACTTGTATGCCATAATATACATGGGAGGTAAATGATTTCTACCCCCTCTGGGTAAAACTGTTTACAGTCTGCCCAGTGCGCTCAGCATTAGAGAAAAGCACTTAGTATTAATCTAAAGTTTGGTTACCTTCTTCTGCGTTGGAAGAGTTATGTTGAGGTTGCAGACAGCGGTCTGTGGCAGGCCTTTTGTTGTCTTTGGCTCTTTCAAAAAGGACAAGCGACCACACGGTTCTTGGCTGGGGTCTCTTACCTGCAAATGGAGTTTGAAATTAGATGTCAAGAAATATCCAATAATAAAGTTAAATTGATTTAAACACTTTGAAAGCATAGTGACTATTTAGTTTATAGGACATTTTCTTCTCTCTGGGAAAGTAGTAAACATCACATCTTCACCTTATAGTGTATGTAGCATTATGGTTGAAGGAACATACAAGCCATTTCTCTGGATTATAGGAAGAATCTGTTAAAAAGGTGTTTTTCCTACCCAAGCATTAACTTCTGATCAATTTGAAGCACATTTCCATAAGTGATTCAATGCTTGATGCTCAGATATGCATGTCATTCTATTGTACTCATTTACATATGAGCGAGGTGCTGTTGCTCAATGCTCAGAAAAATTACAGGAGCCTCTTTGGGGCATGAGCAGGCATATTGACCCCCAACAGACTTCAATTGATTTTGCACCTAACAACCATCTCCTCCTCCTAGTAATTAGCTTTCCATTTTCTAAAAAAAAATACTGAGGCCTGAAAACTGGTGAATAACACGTATACATATATGGATGTAGTCTTAAAGATAGGTAGGCAGGTTTATACTTTTCTTAAAAGCAACTCTGGGATTCTAGACCAGCTGCAACCTAATTTTATTTACAGGTCTAATCCCTGAAATATAACAGAACTTATATAGTGTTATTGGGGATAAATGAGGAAATCTGTGTTTAATCTTGGGATACCCCTATAAGTGTTTTTCCTGCTACGATAAAAGACAACTTAACTTTTGGTGAAGTGTCCTATAGTTCCCCCATGAGTCTGAGTGCAGTAACAGAATACTTTCAACCCTAATAAAGCAATGCTCACCCATTGCCTAGGCCAATGTTGCACAGTCTTTGCATGGAAAACCTCCAGTCAGCTCCTCTACACACTGCACACTCTGCAAGAAGGCAACCATGAGTATGGCCATCCCTTACAAAAGAATGGGGCAGCAGTGTACAAGAACAGTGTGAAGAGGAGCCACTGAAGGCTTTTATTGTGAAGGATGTGCAATGTCAAACAGGGATGCATAGTGAACATCACTGGATTGGGGCCAAAGGTAAGTATGTCACCTAATGGGATGCATTCAAGGTAGTGGGGGGATTTAATTAAAGGACAACTTCACCAAATATAAAGTTGCCCTTTAAAAAAAACATTTCCTTTTCAAATTAAGGACAAAGTAAAAGGTTTACTTGGTTTCCCTCTCCCTAGCAGCATATACTCGCTATCTCACTCCCCCCGCCATTACCTTTTGCTGCTGGCACTTTCAGGTAAGGGTGAGTGTTAGTGCCCTTCAATTCCTTTCCCATAGCCACAACAGTAAGTAAGAAGAAATTCCTCCAAAGGTGGCAAAATCCCTGTTGGTCAGAACTAGTTTCCCCATTTGAAAATTTCATATATAGTTCTGTTCTGATGACAACCCAAAATTTAGGATTCTCTTTCACCTTAACTTTCAGTGATAATGGTCACCTGGACAAATAGAGGGTGAATCTCTGTAACAGGGACACAGACAGCAAAAAAAAAACAGACAGCTGGGGATTCCTGTCATATCGATCTGGATCTACTTGATTGCGTGTCCTAAGACTACAAAGATTGTAAGTTTGTTGTGCTATACCTTGCTATGCCTTATTTATTTGTTATTTCTTATTTGATTCACTTTTTTGAGTTTCCTCAGGGCCTGTGTGCCTATGTTTTCACACATTGTTATCTTTATTTGTTTTACTATTTTTCAAAATAACCAAATAAAACATGTATTGCATTGATAAACCAGACAGGTGCTCTAAACCCTCTCCACACTATCCCCATCTCAAGAAAAATAAGGTAATGGATAGTATTCTCCATTACCTGTTTTAGATATACACATAGTATGTAAGAGATATAAGATTGATATAATAGGGCTCATTCATTCCAGTTCACACGCTAAAACAGTCCATTTTAGTGTGTTGGCTGGTGTCCATTTTGTGCCACCAGTGCCCTACGTTGTTACAACACAAAGCACTGTTTACCTTCTTTTTTTTTAAACATTATTGAAATTTTTAAGTGACATGTCATTCATTTATATTCACCACAGCTTAGCTGCAGTGTGGTGACCAGAGCCGACATGAGGTAAGGTGCGAAAAAGCTTTAAGTTAAACAGTTTATCAAAACTTGAGAAACGACTCAAGTCTCCTGTCTGTAGTAGGCAACCCATAAGGTATACATTATAACAGTGGGATACAATGTAGATTTGCTATACCTTAACAGAAAACGGTAGTCTATTTTCTTTAAAAGCATAGAAATTGAATACAAGCTGTTGTCCTCCTTTAGTTAGTGGAGCTAGATTTCCGTAGCAATCAACGTGGATTGTCTTTCCTTCTAGAACCTATGTGGGTGAGAAAACAAAAAAAAAATAACGTTAATTGCACACACAATGAATCTTTTTTGCATAAATTGTAACGGTCAACATGTCCCATTCCGTGAAGAAAAGTTTTGTAGAAACATAGCACTGGGTTTTGCCAAAAAGTAACTATAAACAGCAAGGTTTCACTTTTGTTTAAAAGGCGTAAAAAGTACAATAGTGTGCCAATGATGGAGGGTGGTGGCGCTATTTGCAGACATCTATGGCACTTACAATAGTGATAAGGTGTAGAAATCCACCCAGCTAAATAACTCTCCCCATACGAAGGCCTGGACAGAGGATATATGGCACAATCATGAAGAATCTATAGACACATGAATGTTCCCGAACACAGTGCTAACGGGTGGTGGATTGCGCAAATATTCTTTTAGGTATGTGAGAACCCTAAATCTGATTAGTTTCTATGGGTTGCTGATCTTTGCACACAACCACCAAAGACTGAATAAGCCTAAAAGAGTTTTCTGACACTGTGTTTCCCTAACTTAAATCATACAGTAAACTAACCATGGAGATCTAAGAATGTACCTCAATGTCTTTACTTCTAGCAACTTCTTCGAAGTTTTCTTGCTGTTCCAGAGTTTTGTCCACTTTGTCATCAGTCATACAGAAGCAACGCAGGCGGGCTTCTACGGGGTCGTTCAGTTTAGCAAAAACAACAAACTTGGCCATGTAAGGAACACATATCAACTCTCGGTAAAGTTGTGTCGCTAGGCTTACTGTTTCAGGGATTTGATGGCAGTCACCCAGCCAAAATCTACAGGATAAAAATAGATATAAGGATATATTCAATATGTATAAAACACAGTTCTGAACACAGCAAACAAAAAAAGCCTCCTTTGCCAATAAAACAGTATGTCATGATATTTATATTATAAGTGACCATGATACTTTTGGCAGATATCATATCCAGCACTGAGGGGGGCTAGCAAGCTTGATACTGCTGTAGACAAGGTGGCTATATGGATTTACATATTTGTCTGTGCTATATTGAGGAATCGTGGATACATAGCTTGTCATACACACAGAAAGGCTCTGCCTACTATTCATTACAAGAACATTTTGAAAAGCAACCGAAAGATGTAAGTCATTTTTGTAAGCATGCAGTTGCTTTCACTCTCCATAGAGGAGAAATAGTTATATCTGCAAAATGATTTTCAATTCTGGCTAAATGATCTTGAAATTTACACATTTCTGCCACAATGCATAGAAAGGAGTTCCCTTTAGTGTCTAATGGTTGAGTCATAGGCTGGTGTCACAGTGGCATTTCTGTGCAATGTGTTTCCAGCGGTAGAATAGGTGCACCAGCATCTTACCCTAGTTGGTGTTGCTGCTGCAGAATCTGGTGCACTAGTGAGCAGACATTGATAGAGCTATTCCATACAAAAGAGAAGTTCTCTTAGTGATCCTGTGGCTGGCAAGTTGTTGCCAGCACCAGGATTGCTTGTGTGAAATGGCCCTTACAACTTTCTGTCCCTCCCTCTTGATAGGACAGAGGTGATGATCCTAATTCATTGTCCAGTGAGTAGGCTGGAGGCAGAAAAATGGCACTGGGAGCTGTACTGCTAAACCAGGAAATCGCTGTGGTGGAGGTGCGCAAATTACAAGAATAACTGACACGAGTTGCAGGTAAAACAGTAATCATATATACTCAATGTCAATTTTGTTGTCTGACCAGAGTTTCACTTTAACGCTCTCTTCAACATTTGTAATTCATTAAATAAATACAAGAAGAATTTTACGTTTATTTAACATTACAATCTAAAAATGGAAAACGTACATTTTTTGAATAGTTTTTCTTAAAATGTCCCCTCCATTTCAGCGGCAGAGCATGCGTGGGTTGTCCCCCCATTTAGGGGGGGGGGCGTTGGGGGGGGGGGGGGGGCGGTGTTTCAGGGGGCGGCTGTCCCTGGTGCCAAATTTTTGGGCTGCTGCAGGCAGGGCCAGGGCACTGGGGGTGTGTGTCTCTATGCTGGGTGTCTCTTCTCATCTGCACGCTGCTGTGAGCAGAGAAGAGACAGCCCTGCTCTCTATACGTTACATACACCTGAGCCCTGTTCTCCATTCATTACATACAACTGAGCCTTGCCTCCCCTGAATTTGGTTTATACTAATGGGAATTGGTCTTCTTGCACTACTGGTTGCGTCTTGGTGGGGGGCTGTCTGTGAAGGGGTATTTTTTTGTCTCTTCTTTTACTTTATTACCTTCCTGTACTTTGCTATCTACAATCTCTCCTTTCTCTTTTGGTTTCTGCACCCTGCTTCCTTGTTATTGTCCTACTCTCGAGTCATAGAGCATGATATTTTAAGGAATTCTGTTGTTCCCTCAATTTTGTTTGCCTTTGGAAGCAGGCCATAAAAAACAAATTTTTACTTTCCATATGCTTGCTTCGTACTAGTTCTACTGGATGCCTGTTTTTACAATAACTATATTGTTGCTTTTATCCATTTGTATATTGCTTTCTTTTTTTGGTGGTGCTTTGTTTCTTCATCTTCTGTTGTCTCCATTCTGTTATTGTATTGTTAAAATGTAAAATAAAGAATTTATATTGTACTTGTGGAAGGGACTCAGGGAGTGCTAACGGTCCACAACTCAAGCTACCCCACTGCTCCTCTTTGCACATTTTATACTCGCTTGTTCTCACTCCTTGGAGCTCTGTACTGCGTCCAAACTGGAAGGAAGACAGCAGTGCCTGAAGAAGTCTCCCACTCAGGCTCTTCTTAATCTTCATTCATTTTTATGGAGAGACCATCTATTATGCGTTCCAAGAACAGCCTGGCCGGAAAAATTCTGCAGAGGTGGATGTGTTGCTCATAACACTTCAAAAAACTCTAAAATGGGAGGACCTATGGGCGTCTTTTAAAGAGAAACTGTACTCAATATACAGTTATTCTATAATTATTATTTACAGAGGAAGTCTAGCTAACACACCACAAGTAAACTTAAAAAAAATGAGGAAATAAAAATACACCAGTCAGATTCTGTCACTGATCCAGCACAGTATAGAAAATAAAAAATAAAACCCTTAACGGTTGCCATAGAGGAAATCTTTTTTTCTGCTTCAGTTTTTGTAAATGAACGACTAGTGTATACAACTTACCTGGCAGATACATTTGTTGTAAAAGAGACACAGTCACTGACAAAGGTCAAAGGCGTAGTCCCTGTAATATCCTCCCACTGAGCTGGAGACGTCCCACCTGTGGAAGAGCCCCAGAGTGAACATGAATAGTTAGTACTGGACATATAGCTTAAGCTGCACCTAATCATAAAATTTGACTAAACATTTCCTCTCTATGTAGTAATATTTTGACGCGTAAAAAAAATAGTTCCATTAGTTTTCCTGCAAAATAGCCAAACGTGTGATAAAATCCTACATTTTGAAAATAAAGAAATGGATCCCTATCATTTCTAGCTCACAAGGTGCCTTCGCTGTGGAGATGCATCTTGTGAGATTGAGGACAGACAGCTTCCCTCCCATTATTCTGTCCATCCAATCCATTTGGTATAAACCAGCGAATGATTGTCTATGTTATAGGTCCACCCAGGAAAAGAAGCATTATTTACTCTTAGACTTCATGTCCACTTTTGCTTCATATCACCTCACAGGATTCCTATTCTTAGAATAACTTCCAACTAAAGGATTGTCTGGAATGAGTTAAATTTAAAAGCATGAGGATCTAATAAGCAGGAAGGATATCTGAGATAAGGCTAAAACTCAAGCAACATTATGTCTCTGCACATTGACTCAACTTTATGAAAGGTGTTTTGGTTTAATTGGATATGGTTATCCAACCATAAAATGTGGAGCTCTATCAAACATGGTTTTTAAAAACATTAAGTGTCATCACACCTCGCAATCAGATTCCAGCTTCTAGGAATCAAATACATTTTTTAATGAAATCTCATCTCTGAATGGATATTTGAGAACAGAAGTGTTCAGTGCCTTACATTTGTTTATACAATGATGGAGATTTATTTCCACACCTACCCGTAATACTGCACAGTAGCCTCAAACTTGGGGTGGTGTCTCCTTTATAGCCATTGCTTACACCTTCACCAGATGGGGGTGGTACTGGAATCGTCATAGTTATTGGTTTGTGGAATTTCCGTCTTCTTGGTTCAACTGTCACAATGGGGCTGAATGTTGCTTTGTTTCCAATTACTTTCTTGACAAGTTCATCGGGTACCGGCTGTGCCTGTAATGTATTAATGTTTTAAATAATTAATTGTAGCCACCTAGCATCATCTAATGACTCAACAATATAACAGCTATTGTTTCAGGATTTTCCATCAACTCAAATGTCATTTGTCCTAAGTATTATGGAATGTATTGGGTAGCTGTACCCATTTGTATGTGGCCAAGAAGAACAAAACCATATTCTGCATGCTAATGCTGAGCTATATTCAAATAGCACCCCATTACAATTTAGAACAGAGCTCAAATCTAAAGTATTTAACTTTCTATTGAAATAAAGCTAAATCTACAATATTTATTTCTGTGAAGGTAATTGTGATGCATCATACCAAGCATTATTTTGGGAACCTACAATATGAAAATCTCAGGGGGCTGCACTGTAAGTATAGTTCCATGGAGGCCCGCAAAGCAAAATTTCAAAATGATTTGGGGTTCCAAACATCCTCTATTCGATAGCAACAAATGCATTTTCCAAAGCTACTACAACTCTTTCCCTAATTCCTTTGCAGTCTGGACCTACAGAACATATCTATCATAGGTTTCATTTTGAACACCCTAAGTATATGAAGCTCAAAATTGCATACATGTTTTCAATTTACCTGAAGGCCCACTCGAATTTTTTTAGTCAGTGCCCCCTCTGGGAAGGATGCTTGAACAAGTGGGACCGTTGTACTCCTCAGAACACCACCTTCAGGTCCAATCTGGTTACTCTCTTGCTTTATCCGAGACACAACAGCAAAGTATTGAGGGAAATCCTTGGTAACAATTCTGCATATCCTTTTTTTCTCCAATTCTTCTGCACAGTCCAGTTCTAAAAAGTAAACATTTGTAACAAATTAGGCTCATATCCAAAAGGATAAGTGTTACATAGAGTGTATACCTAGCCAGTAGACTTTTTAGCAGTTTGTGAGAATGACCAAGCTCCTGCATCTGTGTTACAGCCATCCTGGCTAGACCCTTTTTAGCAGTGATTGCAAATCAAAGCATACAGTGACAGGTTTTCTAAAAGGAGTTTTCATCTGCTTTAAGAAGTGTTTAAAATTACTTTGCCATATCAGGGGAAGACACCAATAATTGGGGCTGAATACTTGTATAGCATATTGTTAAAGAGGGAGTCTTTGTAGGGAGACAGTATAGTGCCATTAAGAATGCTGTACACAAATGTATCCACAAGGTGGAACCATAACACCCTCTTTTACACATTGATTTTATGTTTTTTGTTAAATATGCTATATAACCAGGCATCTAAATTAGAATTCATAATCTTAATAGTAGCATGGAGGCATGAGGGAGCGCACTAGGCAGAGCTTATATTTTAAAGATTTCTGTCTAGTGTTAGTAGTGAATATTATTATTATACGGATAGACCTGCCATATTTATCTAAGTTGCATTTATTCTCTTTTGACTACATTTCTTAGACTATTGGTACCCATATTATATAGGCGTTATATGGAAAACCCCTTTTATGCACCATTCACACATTTCTGTACAATAGCTGTTTTCACAGATCCTCACATACAGGAGATGCATCAGCATCCAGGCCACGCACACTACTAGACATTATATTACAGTATATTGAGGACTATATGTACGGGACTTTTGTGCTAAGGGTCAAGGATCAAAGAAGTTGATTCCAAAATACAGCACTTTCACTCGTTGGTATTTTTAAGGTAAGGACTTTATTAAACAATTTTGAAAACATATTTTAATACCAAAGAAATTGGGGTACACAAAGCCCCAACAACCACAACACACAGGTTGCGAGTTTGTTGGTAATATTTACTTTTACATTTGCCTGGTTCAGCCTAAATTCTAAACACCAATTGGTTTTATGTCATAAATATTTCATGTATGTTTATGACAGCGAGTGTCATTTTCATTGATAATATTGATATTTTAAGGGGTTATTTTAAGCACATTTTATCCTGAAAATATATTAAATGTATATTAAATGTCTTATTGTTGTCTATGTTTATTAATATCTATTACTATCTATTACTATCTTAAACCAAAAATGTTATATACATATAACACTGATCTTTAATAGCCTTGTGAGCGACTTGTTAGAAGATAGAGTATGTCTATAATGGAATCTAAGCTAACATTATTATACCTTTCTATTTTTATAAAATAATTCGTTGGTAGGAGTTCTGGCCCATTGTGCCCCATGTGCATATTTCCATGGCACCTTATCCATTACAGTAGGGCATTACAGTCTTGTAATCTTGCTTGTTCAAATTTGCAAAATGATTTTTGCTTGGAAATTCCTTGAAATATATTTATCTCATTAAAAATCCTATTTCATGCCTCCCACGTCAGTCCTCTATGCTGGCATAGCTGCATAGGACTGGTGTCACACCTGCTATCAATTACCATTATTTCAGGATCACCAACAACTGCAGAAAAAATATGTCTGTGAAGGTTCTCATTCATCCAGGTCATGGCATATATGTAAAAAATAAGTCAAGGCAACGTCTTCAAGTTGCCTTGACTTATTTTTTACAGATGCAGAAAAAATAGTTACCTGCTTCCATTTGTCTGTTCATCACTGGCCAGATGAGCAAGGGGCTGCTTCTCCAGTGACAGAAACCATGCAGAATTTGTCACCAGCAATGGAGAGACATCCAGCTCATCCAGCCAATGAGGGAGTGGCACATGAAAGAGGTAAGTATTTATCTATGTATTTCTCTACCACTGTATAGTGAGCTTGTCGCTAGTGAGTATTGCTCACATGACATGGCCCTATATTACTAAAATAAATACATAAAAAAGAGGATTGTTTCACTCAAATACACATCCAATAAGTAATGGTTGGCTTTCCACAATGTATATTTAAATGAATGTGTCTAAGATGTAAGTTTACAAAGTAGTATGCTTTATCAGAATTACTGATGACGGGGGCTGCAGGATCAGCTTCTACAAGCTGCAACCCACACCTATGCTATACAGCATTGGATCTTTGTTGTAGGTTTACCTTTTCCTGTTTCTACAGTATAGATAAAGACCGCAGCTGTCCCCATACAATGAATAGGGAAGGCAGGTGCATTGGCGTCTCATCGGCTGCCATTGTTCCCACTGAGAGCAGACCCTGAAGGCAGGCTTAGCTCAGGAAATGGAAGATGGAAAGTGTTTACATAGAGACATGCAACCAAAGCCATCTGTCATTCGTAAAGAATTTCACAAGTAAATAACAATGGTTACAGAAACATTTTCATGTATATACTATATATATTAAATACTAAACAATGTATTTTTATTAAGGTGATCCTAACAGAAATAAATGTCTTGTTTTTAACCCAGAAAAATATTTTAATAACAGAAAAGCTTCAGTGGCTTTAAAGTAGGGATGCACCGATATCAAGTACTGTACTCGGTACAAGTACAGATACTTTTCGAGCTCCAAGACTAGACTAGAGAAAAATTCAAAAGTTAGGAGGCAGCTGTCATTTGTAAGGAGCACACGGAGCTCCTGGGATTTGTACATCTCTGTTTTAATGTATGATTTGTTTTTTTATAACTATCTATAAGGGATGCACCAATACCATTTTTGCAAGTACAAGTACTGATACTTGTCCAAGTACTCACAGATACAAGTACTGATACATTTTTATTTATTGCCATGTGACAGTACAGACTAATAATTTCAGGACAGTGGTGGAGTGCCAGAGCCCGGTCCCAGCTGCAACCGCTGCAACCCTGGTAGTTCTCGTGAAAATGCCAAGTATCTGCACTGGTATCTGAAAAGTATCGGTGCATCACTACTTTAAAGTGGAGCTCTGGTCACCATACATAGTAAATTTAGATGGAACCTGTAAGAACTAATGCTAAGTAGGTAATCACAGATAGCAATTTCTCTAGAGTCTAAGGGCAATCAGATTATGCCTAAATATCCAACCACCCTCTGCACTGCATTAAAAGTAACCACACAGGATTTCAACAAGCATAGTTTTACAGGAGTAGTGTCCATAAGTAAAACCACTGTAAAAAACAACAACATTTTGGGTTCAACATGATCCTCTCTGAAGCCAGAGCTGCAATGTCCAACCACCCTTATTACTCTATGGGTGACTTAGGCCACTGCGCATACTCACATGTGCATAGACAGCAGGAAAGCAGGAAAATATATTTTCAGCAGATGGTTCATTTACTACTAAATGACCACCACTTAATATCTATGAATGTAGTATGAGTTACAATTAACCTAAACATAATGTCTATTAATAACTATTTACATCATTTAAACATTTCATTAACTATACTTGACGAAAAACTGAAAAATGAAAATGTACACACTGCACTGGGTCTGCAGCATACCGTCTCCTGCACATAACACTGTGCTTCCGAGGAGGAGGGGGAAAGATGTGACTTGAACAAAAGAGCACTCTAGTTGCATCACTATCCCCTCTCCACTATTGCCCATTCACAAAATGTCTTTCGTGGCATTCTGTGATTCATGTGAACAAGTGGACTTAGTAAATAAGGAAAGGAATCAGTCTGTATCTTTTTTAGAAGATGGAGCATGACACAGCACTGAACAGTGAGTGAAATCAATACATTAAATCATGTTATATGCCTTGTCTGGGGATGTGTAATTTTACCATTTGAATGCAAAGAACGTGTCACATAGAAGGATTTTATAATGAAAAAGCCAACTGTGCTCCTTTACGTAGAAGTGATCTATGTAGATGTGAATCCCAATCCCTTCTACACACCTCCAAACATTTTAGGTATCATAGCTTATTATGGTTTCATGGGGGCATGCAACTTTACAGCTTGGCATATTTGGTATCTATTTACTCGACACAGTCTCATCTTTCTTATTTTGCATAACATTGGAGATTATATTGTGTGCACAAACAATTAATTTGAATGTACGTCTTACTGAAAATAGAGATAACAAAATTGCAACTTTTGATACTAGAGTTACTCTCCTTTCAGAAAATCTATATTGTTTTAGAGGGTTTTACATAATTTGTGAAAACACACTTAAGAGTTTATGATGTGTATGTGGTTCTAACAGCCATACAGAGCTGTGTGCAGCACCCATCCTCTCCAAAACAGCGTGTCATAGCTGTCAATGGAGAAGGTGGGCATATACACAGCATAGTTCCCACCAACTTCCCATGACGTTAGCATTCCTGCACTAAGAAAAACACAGAGAAAGCAATTTCTGATAAAGGAAGCTGCCTGGTTGTTTCTGGCTTTTAATGCTTCTTGAGACACTGACCCAGAGGAAGCACACAGATCAGAAAAGTGAAAAGCTCCTAATCTGGATACTTGTTCCAGGTCAGTGACTCAGAAATCACTGAAGCAATTGGATGACCATGACAGCTAGAAAACTAGTATTCTAGTGGAGAGATCATCAATAACAACATCCATCTTTCCTTAGGGCAGCCTTCCTTTATTGTAGGGTAGATGCAAATACAAATATTTTTTGGTTTCTGGTGTGCTAATTTGCATATTAACATCCATTCCAGCTTTAGAATAGGAGACAAAATAACTAAAATTTACAAATTTTAAAAAGTAATACAATTAGAAAATAAAGAAAGGTGTTTGCTTAAGACAGAGCTCTCTTGCAATTTTGTAGTGTTTGACAGAAGGGAGAGATACATGTGAGAAGTCATGAAAGTAAGTAACAAGAGTGATACACTTGAGATGTTGCACTTGTAAATTGAGTTGGTTAAACTAAGTTGTACAAGGCTGTGTAATTCTACGTGAGAATACAGAAATATGCTTTCTGTGTGGTTGTTAGTCAGAGCAGGGACTGACACTTAGAGACACTTAGCAACTCTTAAAGCCCAATTGAACTCTCTGTTTCAATGAGCTAAATGCATTCCAAATGCATAAAAACATGGTTTGCTTCCTTTCGAAGCAGCAACAGCCCGAGTAGAAAAGCCTGTCCCCTGTCAGCATGCTGCTGCTAGCTTTTGCAGAGGTCTGCCACAACCCCTGCAGAGTTAGAGCCTTCGAATCAGCATGAGCTTTGCTGAATTCAGTTACATGTCTGACTCACTAGGGGGCATGTGAGCCCTCTGCAATAAGATCACTGCTCCCCAAGGGGTCAAACCTAGCAGCTGCTTGCAGGGGACAGGCTTTTCTATTCAAAACTGTGGCTGCTTTAGAAATTAAACTAACTTTAGGGCAGTAAAGACCTTTTGTTCTGATGCAACTGGAATGTATTAAGTGGGTTCAAACCGAATATTCAGTTGGGCTTTAACATTGTGTGAATACACAAAACGTATCGGTACTGGCTACGTGCATGCAAATTCTTCCTTAAACAGAATTTTAATTTATGTGTAGTGACCCTGCGGCATCATTTGTAGACTTACCTTCATCCATGCCATTGAGTAATTCAGTCAGCTCCTCCAGCTTGCAGTCGTATTGATGCTCTTTCCATGAGTCTCCATTCTCACTTCTCAGTACAATCAATTCCCTCTCTTTACTTCTCATTGATCCAAAATGGGGAATTTCTACTATCACAGGTCTGCATGGAAACAAAATAAATGCTTTCAAACTAAAGCACCAATGAGCATGCTATTGTGCATTTTGTGACACGAAGCCTAACACAGTAAAAGCCAAACATAAAGGACATTTAATCAAACAATTGCAAAAGCTGCATAATCCCGGAAAATGGAATGACAAAATAAAATTTCAGATCGGACAAATCCAGTTGGATTTATAAATTCAGCATTGTTTTTAGTAATTTAATGATTTCAGCAACTAGAATTACCATAAAATAGAGTCTGATTGTGCAGCTTTTTGTCTTGTTAATAGACAGTATCTATCTTTTCCTACAGAGGTTGTACATACGTCAATTAAGTTTTTTGGAGCAAAAAAAAAAAAAAAGTACAACATCTTTATGGCAGTTTTCAGGTCCGAGGGAGAAGATTTGAAGAAGGAAAAAATATATCATCATGTGGACCACATCTGCAAAATTCTGTTTTAGTCATTTCCTATGTAATACTTACAGAGTTAAACTGTTTACAGTAAATCATGAAATCTTGACATTACAATCCTTTAGACATACAAACAGAATAGACTCCACAGATTCAGCCAAAGAAATGGACACAGGGCAATGGTGATGTCAATACAATCTTTGCAGGTTAATAGGTCAGATACTGTCTGCTTATTGTCAGCGTTCACATAAATAGTGTGCATGGTGTAAAACAAGACTGTTCACAGAGAAGGTATTTCATAGTCATTTTATCATCTTATGTTTCCCATATATATTTTTATTAGCAGTAAGTATGAAAGTATAACATAAGTTGAAAACTAGACCAAGTCCAATTAGGATACATTTGTGTAACAGTTGTAACAAGCAATATACATAGAAGGAAATTCATGCTTCATAGTTGATAGCAAGTTGTTACAGAAAGTAGTATTTATTTAGGTAAATGCTAAAGACAGTACTCCATGAGAAGACCACATTTGGAAATACCCCCACTAATACCATATTGTTAAGCCTTAATTTGAATGGATAACCTCTCAAAACAGCAAACAGTAGAAAACATAGAGTGCAGACGGAAAACAAAAAAGTCTAGGCATGCCTTTGATGTTACTCCCCTGTTATTCCACATATCTTTACACCTTTTCACCACAGTGATACCTGGGAGCAGTGGTGTAACAATCACCATAGCGACCCAGGCGGCCGCTATTGGCCCGGGGCACAGGGGAGCCCGGCCAGGACATTCCTGATGCCCTGCGGGCCGCCTGGGTTGCTATGGCATCTCACGCTGCTGGCTGTCACTGGCGGCTGTGAAGAGAAATGTGCCACTGCTCAGATCACTGACAGTGATCTGTGCAGCGGCGCATTCCTCTCCACAGCCGCTGCTGAGTCAGTGAGAGCCAGCAGCGGCAGTGGAGCAGGCAGGACCCAGCAGTGGAGGAGGAGGCGGGGCCCGGAGTTGGCATATGAGGAGGAGGTGGGGCCCGGCGATGGGGAGGGGCGGCGATGGGCGGAGGAGGCGGGGCTCATCACTGACGATGGAGGAAGAGGAGGCGGACAGGTAAGGAGTGTGACCAGCCCACCTGAGAGTGACCCTGCAGAGCCTGCCTTAGAGAGTCTATGGTGGGCTTTACAGGGTCACCCTCAGGTGGGCTGTGTGGGATCTCAATTGGGCTCTGCAAGGGGTGTAACTAGAGATCAAAGGGACAACCTACAAAATTTTGTTATGGGGCCCTGTGATTTCTAGTTACGCCCCTGCCTGGGAGTAATCTGTTTTTATTAAAGATGCACAGGGAACCTGCAATAACGGTGGACCCGATTTGCAGCTTCTAAAGTTAGCTCTCTTTCATCCTATGTTCTATTGTTGACCTACCATTTGCTCCAGATGTGTCTTCACCGGCATCACCAACAGTATTTATTTTGTAATTTCACAAACCAATGGTTTGTGAATGGTTTGTCATAGCCTATAATAGATAAGCAGCTGAACTGGGGTCTGTTCCCTCTACAGATGGCCACATAAGATCGATAAATTGGAATGGACAGCCACCCCCTCTTTACACAATCTGATGGGCCTTCTTGTCATCTTGTGACCCTGCATAATTACCGCTTTTGCCCCAGAGCTCAATCATCCAAAAGGCAACCGAAGCATTAGGTTAGGTCCTCGGAAATTTCCAGTAGGTCCAGCTACAACTTTCATACTCCTGCCTTATCTGCCATAACGCAATTGATAAACATGTGCACCTGTGACACTTCAAATGGAAAATGAAACTTTAGGCAGCTGGTAGCTGATGGTGAGAGGCCATGTCAATACAGACAATGTAAATAGGAGAGTTTCTCTGTGCCTATTGCAAATTCCTAGCCTTGTTAATCAAAGGGAATTGGGGGAAGGTAAAGCTGCTAAGTTGCCTAGGGCCCCATTCTAACCTAATTACCTAATTACCTAATAAATGTGTTGTGCCCTACTTAGAATGGATAAAGTTACTAAAAGGTTGTACCTGGTTTGGAAGGTCTTGGTGAAGTTTGAAATTGCCGTGAACTTACAGTTTATAAGACATACAAAACAGGATGGGAAGGTTTGAAATTGTATAATTTACATCGATAAAGGTTTTAATTTAATTTAAATGGAGGGTCCCCTGTTATATTTGCTAGCAAAAACACAATTTTTCCCCGAAAGGGGATCCCACCATTATTTCAAAGTTTAAACACAAAAAGTTTGTATCGTAAAAAAGTATTTATTTTGGTGTATATTACATCACTTCCACATTCTCGTGTCACTCTCCAGCTTCAGATGCTGGAGAGAAGCTGATGAAGCAGATCTCTGCTTCATCAGCTTCTTCAGGGGGTCCTAGGTGACATTAGGGGTCTTGGAGACCCCTGATGTCTCCATAAAGAGGACCTGTCACCTCTTTTGCTATCACATAAGGGGGTTTCTCAGCCCCCTCTGTGATAGCAATAAAGTTAAGTGAAAAAAGAAATAGTAAACAAATTTAAAGTTTCCCCCCAATTTTTTTAAAGTTACACAAAAAAGAATTAAAAAAACAAAAACATTGTTTAAAGTCCCCACCCCTACATACACGCATGTAAACATGCGTCAGGTGCGCATACCTGAGAAAACGACGATTGCACCCATTACGCCGCACATGTTACATATCGCCGTGAACATCGGAATGAGAGCAATAGTTCTAGGGCCATCAATCACTGATAACACTAGGGTTCACAGCCCTTAAAAGAATTACACCCACAATAGTGTTATACCCTTAATGTCTCTTTACTCATTACCCAGTTCTTTGCTACGTTTCAACAATATAAGCTGCTCATTGTATGTTTATTTGATGTTCAAAGGACTATACAATGGTTAGGTCAATTCCCTATGAATAATTGTTATCTAATCATTAAAACACTCATGGGATCTGAATGCTTGTGGCTTGATGCATATGATTTTTACATGTTTGCCAGAAAGTAGGGCAACATTGACTGGGCTGGAACCTTTTGGCTTATAAACCACTGAGTTATCGTGCCTGTGCAAGGAAATATGATCTTACCTTTCGGAAATAATGAAACATTACTAAAAGATTCAGTAAACAGAGTAAAATGTTACTTTATATGGCAGAGCTCCTGAAAAATCAGATAAAAATGTTGTAAAGGTTCCCATATCTACCCCTAAGATGAACATATATTACACTTTACCTGTAATGCAGCTTTTCTGAGCCTGCCTAGAAGCACGCTGCCTCTCTTTAAATGTACACTGAGTGGCCAGATTATTATGACCACCCCATCAGTACTTCGTTGGGCCACGAGATAACTCCACGACATGACTTAGTTGGGCCGCCTCGTAATTTCACGAGATGTTGAAAGGTGATGCGAGGAATCTGACACTGCACTGTTGCCCTTCTGTTGTCTTTCACCAGTCTTGCCACTCTCCGTTCTGCCCTAACATTGACTAGTCGCTGACGGCCACAATGCGCACATTCAAACCCAGATTTTCAGCTGACAGTCTAGTCTTTAAACACTTTAACAATGAGCCCCTCTTGAACATTTAACAAATTCTGCTGTTTTGCTGATACTCGCTCCATGGCCCGCACCAACAATCATCCCACGTTCACAGGCTGTTAAATTGCGTTGTTTACCCATATCTTCAGAAAAAAATCACCTACTGACGTGGTAAACAACCTGCTTCCCTATTTATAATGGTCTGGCCCTCTAGCAACTTCAGCGCAAAATTATAGCTAATTATAGCCAATTTGCCTACAAACGTCAGGTGGTCATGATAAACTGGCCACTCAGTGTATACCTTTTCCTACAGAATGCTACCGGCACACATTCACTGCTTGTTGCCCATTCACTTCAATGGAAAGCCTATCTGTGGCCAGTCAATTTGATAGGATTTCTGATGCAGTGAATAGAAATTCAGCCTCGTATAGCTGGGTAGCACTATGGAGGTCTGTAAAGATTTACGAAGGGAAGTTGTAGTTACAGACAACACAGTAATGATCTCAGTGGAGCTGTATTAGACCCCGTTCACATGTAGCGACATACCTTTGCAGCGGCCGGGATAGCGCGACTTTCGGGGCGACGTTCCAGCAACGGTAGTGCGACCTTCTCCGTTGGGCTCCATAGAAAAAAAGCAAAATCGCGCAAAATCCGCCGAAAAAAGGGTCCGGTAGAAGCGACTTGCGACCGCGACGAGTGACATGGAGCTAAGACAGCTCCATTGAATAGCATTGGCCGGCGACTTCTCGCGATATCGCGTGGCAAAAATGCGCGATATCGCGGCGGCAATCGCGCGATAAGTCGCTACATGTGAACGGGGCTTTAGGGTCTATTCACTCCAGCTCCTGCACAATTTGCACTGTCCCGGGCACCGCACACCAGCTTTGTGCGATCCTCGCCGATCCCTGAGCATCACACTGTTTGCTTTTTAAAAAAAATAATTTTATTGAAGTGTCACAATTGACAATGCACTAAGTTGTATGGCATAGCGTGGTGCAAGGCTGTTGTACGGTGTTGCATCCAGCTGCACTGAAAAAAAGTACTGCATGCAGTACTTTTTTTCAGTGCACACAATCGCAACGTGGTGGTGTGAATTGTGCCCATCTGTGACAAGGCAAATTGTCTTTTCTTGCGTTGGATGTGTGAATGTCTGTGCATCTGGTGTGGATAGGCCCTTAAAGAAAATTATAACTTGCACATATCCAGAACAGCATGGAGAGCAGGGATAGTAAGCTTATCAATTTACATTTTTCTTTAATTAAGTTACTGCATGGGAAGTTGGCTATGTGTAGGAGAATACTGATCCTCCACCCTATACACACACACATACACAATACCACTTTCATTTTAAATAGGTCCGATTTAAAAAATCTCCTAAAATGATAATATGGGCTTAATTATTCTTTTAGGAAAATTACAATTTAGCAATTCTGTTGAATTCTACAACAATAATAAAATCATATACATAGCAAAGGGGGCAATATATAATAGTAAGATTTTTAGTTTTTTGCAAATACCTTCTCTTGAACAAACTAAAATAAAAATGCTGTCTCCAAAAATTACAATGTGTTTGATGCAGCATAAACATGATAAAGTGAAACAAAATACAACAGACAAAAAGGGCAACTTAAAATATTGTTAGCCTTGAGTTTAACATGCCTAGAAAAGCACAATAGTCAGCAGTAATAAAGACAAGCCACTATCCTTTTAACAACATAAAAACACTGAATGCCGTGACATAAGTAAAAAAAGAAATGTGGATGGCAAAATAAAAATACAAAATAATAAAACCCTCAGACAAAATTGTATCCTTTGTTTTCATTTTAACAGTGCAGCATCCTACCCTATAAATTTTGTCCCTTGAGGCCCAAGCTGCAGGATTCGGCTAATCAAGCTCTCTCCCTCATTTAGAGGGGGGGAATTGGTAGGAAGATGCAGTTTACTGAATAAGATCCATGCAGCAAGAAGAGAAATAAGAAGGGGAGTATTAGGATTGGATGGCAACTCCAGACAATGACTTCCGGTTCTACACCAGTCGTCTGGTGCCTGCTTTGAAAAATAAACAAAAATTCTGCATGCATTATAAGGGACATCCATTAAGAGAAGGTACTAAAGCATAGCTGTATGCTTTATAGAGTATGTGCAACCACTGGAAAGGCAGAGTATTGGCACTTGCATAACACAAAGAATTGCCCCAAAACATGATACTGGAGCATTTAAAAGGCATGTAATGCAACATTTTAGAGAAGCAGCAGTCTAGGTTTTGATGCTTAGTTCATATCTTGCACTTTGTTGTCTGTAAAAGAGAAGTTAAATGAAACAGCACAGGATGGAGTTACGAGATATAATGCTACGAACCCATTTTATTAAACGTCCGACCTGAAGTGGTATTTCAGCTACCAGCAGGCACTGGTGGTTTCAACCACTTTCCATCTTCTTAAAGTGGAAATTCACCCTAGAACTAAACAGCCATATAACACATGTACCTTGATAAATGCATTGCACACAACTTGCAAAAGTTGTCCATTGGAAACTGCTGGCCATTTATCGACAACATCATGCAACACATGGGTTGCTCAGCCCCACATGCTGTCTATGTCTTGTGATTGCAAAGCCTGATTGGGAAATGCCTTCACTGTGCTCTGATGCTGGCAAAGACATAGGTAGCATAAGGGGGGCTGAGTGATACCATGAGTTGCATGGTTTCGCAGGTAAATGGCTGACAGATCCCAATGCTGATTGCTGGACAACTGGAGCACAGACAGAAGCCAAATATGGCGTTATGCATTTATCAATGTACATGTGTTTTATGGCTGTTTAACATTCATAGAGTAATTTCCACATTAAATCTCTTAGATTCCAGGGGGAAATTTCCCAACAATAGTCTGTTTCTTCTCTCCATGCCACAAAGTTGTAACAAGGGTGTTCCAAATTCAGTAAATTTCACATTACGAGGACTGCACTGGTGAACACTATTAACCATCATGAACCCATAAGGTAGAGCACTTTTTGTTTGTCTTGTGAGCTGATCATGAACTCATAAATCACATGGAACTGGGTATTCTGATGGGTATATCTCACCACTGGAGTCTTCAAAAAATATGAAAAGTACAATCAATTTCAAGAGCCAGTGGCAAATCAAAATTGAAATATTAATCTTGAGTATAGCTGGTTCTTAAATCAAAAGGGTACTTTATTACAATGAAGATTTGGCCCACTTTAAATCAGAGAAATTGTGCGGGGCAAAGTTCAGGAATGTGAACACAAATGTAATATGTGATTTACAGCATGAATATTAACTAATAAGCCTAGCTAGAACAGATAAGGAAGTAGCCTCTGTTTTGCTGTTATTGCATCAATGCTGTTTGCTTCCCTATAGGCTCTCTGCTTATACATTCTTATTAATTAATCAAGCTGTGGCAGAATGGCAAGAGTACCGAGAGAAAATGCAGAGGAGAAGCATCTTACAGATAAAGAAAAGCCTATAAATACAATGGCACCAATTCAGCAGTCACTCAAGTTAATACCATACAGTTTTTTTACATTTAATTTGCTCTGTGAAAAGAAAGTTTGAGTGGTAGTGGGTTGCAATTAAAAGGTCCCTAATAACATATTGAAACAGAGACATTCAGACCAACTTTAATAGTGATATACAGTTCTAATGTGTTTTATTTGTCTTTCATCAGCTGTTGGAATTGAGAAAGCAAATTGTATACTCACAGGGTGGAGAACCCTACTGACAGACCATTGCTGAGCATTGTAAGCCCTTAATACTTTAGGAACAATGCACTAAGACCCATAGAGTAAAGTGGGTTCTTTATAGCATATTGGACTGTTTCTATGGATGGTGAAGAATATTTCTGTTCTACTCTCTACTTTCTTTGTTCACTACCTGTTAACGAAGTTATGCATGTCAATATTTAAGAAGTTAATATTCCCTATGCTGGTAGACCCTTAAGAATTAAAAAAAAAAAAAAACACGTTTGAATCTAGATCATGTTTTGAAACACTACTAAACTTTATTCCTTTCTCAACTAGAAAAATGTAACATTAATATTAGTGGATGCTTCCGTGTTGTAAAATAAAATGAAAGTCCCATTACTTGCTGCTGTCACTGTTCAGCTGAAAGTATATCATGGTTGCTTTCACTATGTTCAGGCAAGGGGAACCATTAAAATGGCAGTTCTGGGGAAGCCACAGTCCAAAGCTTTCAATTAATGATAACGTTGCAGAGTATTAACTAAGCCTAAATGCAAGGAATAGCTAGTTTGTTTTGTTTTTTTAAACTGTTTAATTTATAGATTATTCCTGAAACTTTTAGTGCCAAAGGATTTTATGGATTGTTCAAATTCAGATGCTTAGCATACTGCAATGATCAATAATTCTAAGACTCGCTAGACAAATAAAGTTGAAATTGGTTAAAAAAAAATGCTACATTGCTCTTGCAAGCTTAAGAATTTTAAATGTTGTTCTATTTATCCACTATCCATCGGTGCCTATACATGGGTTGTACATTTGGATGTCACTAGGAAATATACATGTGCAGATTAACTTCAGATATTAGTTATAAATTAGTTAGTTAGTAATATTCAGTGTAAAAGTATTTCTCAGAATGTTCACTATAAAAACATGGTGATCAAAAATCTTGGTTTTTATAACTTACCCCAAAAACTGAGCCCCTGCTGGGCCCATTTCAACCAGCCGACTTGCCAATCCTTCTCCTTCTACCATTGGTGGAGGAGTTGCTAGTTTGTGCCTTTTGACCAAACGACAGGTAATGCGGGTAGGTGCTGTGCATTTCCTTGGCGGTATGACAATTCTCATTCCATTGTGCCGACTCCCCCTCATAGAACCCCCACGTGCATCCACCATGAAGCTAACCAAAAAACTGTGAGAAACAGAATTTTTGTCGTTAGGGTTATTTAAAGTATAGGAACAACTCATAGAAGGGCATGCATAAACATTTTTGAGTTAATATTTCACTTCCCATACAAATAGTATTATCATGTACAAAAGAGAGAACTTGACAACAGAGCAGATGATGTTTCAATACAAATACTTGTGAATCAGTGCAGAGTGTAAAAAGGTTTCATTTCAATTCCATGCAATGAAATATGCAAAAAGACAGTCAAAAAGTGCAAGCACCAACAATGTTTAATAGGTCCAGTTGATTTATTTTTAGCAAAGTAAGTCGCAGGACAATCCAACATGATTCAGGGACTCACCAGTAGCACAGGAACAGCATTAAATTGTTCAAAATAATCTATTATTATTTGTAAGAGGAAATTGCATCAAATATGAAAGAAATAAAGAAGATAATACAATTGATCTCACATATAAAAGTAGATGGGGGAGTTCCCCAGAGATTCCGTCTGAAAACAAAGTATGTTTTTCAGAATAAATAATAGCACTTGTGACAGTATAATTAATAGAACCTTAAAAAATGTCATATGGCCAGGGCCGGATTTCCCACAAGGCCAACCGAGTACCGGCCTTGGGGCAGCAGGGAGTAGAGGGGCAGCAGGGGTGTGGAATTCCTATCTCCCGATGCCCGGGACATGCAGTTCTGGGCGCCAGGCGAGTAGTTGTTTTCTACATTTAGCCCGGCTTTGGGCAACAAGAGCTAAATGCACAGGGGGGGAAGCTGCCGCTTGTTTTGTACAAGTGATCCCAGTGATGTCGCCGAGATCACTTGTATGCAGCCTGCAGGTCTGCCATTCTCCATAGGGGGTTAGGGGGGTTGGAGGAACCTGGCCTTGGGGCAGCAGAGATAGTAAATCCGGCCCTGCATATGGCTAAATCAAATGTAACCAATTTAGTTTTCCTGATTTCGAAATATAGTACTTCTTCTCTAGCTGTCTACAACTATGGACACAATGCCCTTAAACATTTTTCCAACTCATATAGGATGTATTTGACACTCCCCATGTACACCGCTAATGCTCCAATCCATCCTTATACTGCTAAAAGTCTAAAACCTTTTTTTAGTGCTGTGATGTGAGAATGAAGAAAGCAAAATGACAACTGCCCACAACATATGGCCTTTAAAGAGGTTGGCATGCTACAGCCATCTGTGCTTGCTGAGAGTGCTAGAGGGATTTTCCCACTTTCTATACTATGGCAGGAACAGTACAACGAGACATACAGAGTTATTCACAAAAGGGTGAAGAGTTTGGAGAAGGCCGGAGAAGTGAACAATCTAGCACAACATACCTGAACTGGAAAGTGAGCTGAATTGGAGAATTTTCCCAATCAGCAATTTTGTCCTAGATTGTTCACTTCTCCTGCCTCCTCCATACTCTACACCCTTTTGTGAATAACCCTAATAATGATTTACTGCCCTATCCCCATTCACTGCCATCAGAAAATACTGCAGTGTAAAAGGAAAATTGTTGCTATTTTTGAGGAGGTGTGTGCGTGTATATGAGTCCATGTGTGATTTTGCTCTTAAGAGTACTGGTACCCCTTTATGTTATGGTCGCCAAATAACTCGTCCAGGAGTTTCTTGAATGATTCCACACTCTTAGCTGAAACCACTTCCTGCGGCAACGAGTTCCAGACCCTAACCGCTCTAACTGTGAAGAACCCCTTGCGTCCATGTGTGTTGAAATTTGTTTTCTACCAATTTTTGGTGGTGCCCTCTGGTCTTTGTTACGGAGCTAACCATAAACAGTTTGTTAATAATGTAACAAGATATTCTATTAAGAGTCCCGTGGAGAAACATATAACACTGTACAGATACTCCTCACTTAACGACTTACCTGTTTTGCGACCACTCGCACTTACGAGCAGCTCTCCGACCGTACGTGCGGGAACGTGGCAGCGGCAGTGCGTCGTCTAACCGTCTTCAGTGCTGTACTCCGTTCTCCGATGCTAGTCTCGGTAAGTACTGTATTGGCAGATTTACAGTACACTGTACAGTACTGTACATCTCCAACACTATACAGTACTATAGTACTGGAGGTACAGTTCCTCATTAACGACCGATTTGTTTAACGACCTAGTCGTAGGAACGGAACTCGTTCGTTAAGTGAATAGCTGTACTGTGATCTAATTATTATACGTTTCTCCACGGGAATTTTGTTCATGAACACTTCTTTGCATTTGTTGTTGTAGTATGGTATATATGTTGAATCTCAAAAGGAAAATACTGCAGTTTAAAAGTAAAATGATTGATTATAATGTATAGCTCTGATTTTTTTTCTAATTTCTGTACTTATTACTATTAGGTTCTACCTCTGCAATATGAACAATCCCTTTTGCCCACCATATACCCTAAACCTTTCCTTTTCGTTTGTGATCATTTCAAACTCCTTCTTGTAATAGCTAAAGTATATATAAAGTCAAAACGTTGTTTTCCTTTTCAGTAGAGCAGGGGGTGGTTAAAACGCCCTTCAGATTTTTCTTTTGCTAGCTGTACCTTATTTAAGAGATTTCTCTTTACTTCCTGTTTTTTAGAAACGACAGGTGAGAGGAAATATCTCCAATAAGGTACATCTCTCCATAGACAGTTACCAGGACAAGTATCTCCAGTGGAAAATCTTCCCTGTATTCATGTTCAACTCTTAAGTTAGTGACAACATAGAATTTTAGATTTTCCCTCACTTTCAAATACTTTTACTGGTGTTCCATGCAACAACTAATACATGTTTTGGGTACAAAGAGGTCCCCTTTATCAACATGTCACTTTGGTAAAAAGAAAGGACATCTTTGTTTCCAAAACCGGAATTCCATGCAGCAACCAACAAATGTTTTGAGGATATGGAGGTCCTGTTTATTGAGACCACTGTGTCACCAAAATGTGCATTGGTTGTTGGAAGGAACTCCAGTAAAGACATTTGCCCAGAACCTGGTGTGATAGCATTTCTCTGCATTGGATTAACACGCTACCACCATTTGCCAAGGAACCTCTGATGATGTTGGTGAAGGAGGGGTCTGTGTGGTACAAGCCAGTAACATTCAGCAATAAAAACCTGACTGGGGCTCTAACCTCTCACAATTCCAATCAAAAAATGTTTTGGCTTTACATTTACACTTTAATATTTATTTAATGTATTAATCTTATTATCAAATCCACAATTTAAAGTAGCTCAAACGTTTTTCAATAATGAATCCAAATCAAACATATATACATTGCCCAGAAAGGCATTGCTTAACATTTTTGCCCAAACACTTACAACCATCCATCATCTTTCTGAAAAGCCTCTTCCAAGTCTCTCCGCTCAGCTTCCCTGAATTTCCTGTCTAGTACAAGATCACTTGGGACAGAGCATACTCCAGGAACTGTTCATTTACTAGCTTGGAGAAGGGAGAAGGAAGGAGGGGGGGGGGTGGAGTTGCTTGATTTGCTGTGCCTGTGTGTTTGTGGAGGCACACACACAGCTTACTAGCACCAACAAGGGTGGCTCCATAGGACCCTGCAAGGAAAAGGAGCCTCCCTAAAATAGGATATCAGGGCCAGTGCTCAGGGGACCAGCTGATTCCACAGGAAACTAAACATAAAGGAGCAGCATTCATTGAAAGCGATTCCATCAGCATTTGAAATAGCTTGACATCCCTTTGACTGTAAATATCACTTTAATGTTCTTTGTCAGCTGATGAATCTAAATTATTGTCTTTATGTAACTCACAGAGGATCCTTTATATGAAAGGTGTTGAATATCTATTACTTTACCCTATTTGTATATTTTACCCAAAGGCAGAAGATTTCAAAGCCACATGGCACAACTCCATTGCTGTACTGTCTCCCATGCCGACAGCTGTGGCCTTGGCATTAGTGTCACCCCTCTAAACAAACATATTAATTAGTCTACTATAAAAGGCAAATGTCATTGTTTTATAACTGTTACATCCATCATCTTTTCCAGTACTCTGACAACAGGTATTTCAGGTTTCTGACAAAAGACCTGGAAGCTTGGAGAACACTAAGTTTTAGATGTTTTCCTACTGAGTAAAGCTTGGCAAGTCCTCCAACCTGAGCATACACTTTGCCTCTTCTTAAATACAACAGCAGTTTTCCATGTATTGCACAATTAAGACAGAAATCTGCTGGCAGCAGCTACTGAGCGTGAACACAAACAAGCAATGTCTGTTTCAGCCACACAAAGTGCCTTTGATTTGAACTGGTTTATAAAATGAGGGACGGAGTAATCTGACAGGTTATAGGCTATCCTCAGGTTTCTCACGCATTGTGTAATGTGAAGCCTGAGCACCTAAAACCTTCCAGTGCCCAGCTAAACAAAATGTCTCTACTGTATCTCATTGTGACAGCTAAATTAAACAAGAAAGATGTAGCTTTGGGCTTTGTTTCATTACTTAAATAGAACTATAGGTTTGTGTGCTATGGAGAAAGTTTAGACAGTGTAACTCTCTCTAATGTGTACACCAAGCCTGATTCCCTTAAATGAAATATCATGTACTATTCATAGTGTACTATTGTGCCACCCCTCCAAGCTTGCTTCCGTGATGGACTATAATCTCACATTTAGTTTATTTATTTGTATTGACGTTATAGTCTATCATGGGAGTGAGCTTGGAACGGTGGCTAATTTACAACACACACAGGGGCCATGGGGAACAAAAGTAGCCACCCTCCAGAAGGAAGCACAGTGTCAGCACCAATTCAAAGATGATTTGAGGATCTACAACAGAGTGATACACATATCAGAAACATTTTTGTTAATAGTTAAAGTATTTGAATGCATTTTTAAGATTTAAAAGGAGAACTAGGAGGTGAGTGATTAACACTCAGCCTCATAGTTAGAGCCGACCTGTGACAAAGAAGCTGTCACAGGTTTGCTCTATAGATCGGGAAGTGCATTTCTGATTAAAATGCACTTTATTAGTAATTAAAAATCATTTCCTAGGAAGATGATTGTTTATCTATGCTTAGCATTAACTATTTGATTGTTTGATCAGTACTTTACATCTTTTAAATGATTGATTATACAGTAGATGGTATTTGTTTATTAGATATAGTATATATACACTGTTGATTGTAGTACTAGTCACTTTACCCCCCTCTGATCCTCCAGCAGTGAGTGGAGGAATGGACAGGGGAGGGGGCGGCCACAGCTGGCTCTGCCTCTAGATAGGCAAAGCCAGCTAGCTGTCACTCACGCAGCTGGGTTGATCTTGACGCAGGCTACTGAGCTTTTAAAAAAACAAATAGATCTGGAAGTGAGCAAACACATACCGTCGCTCGCTCACTTTCCGATCATCTCTCTGCAGAGAGCAGCGACTGTCAGTCACTGCTCCCTGTAGGAAATACCCCCCTCTGATCCTCCAGCAGTTTGGTGGGTTTTCGGTGCTATCTAGGGCTCCATTAAAAAGATTTACCATTTTCTCCTGCCCTGTAGCTTTACCAGACAGGACGAACAGAAGATCTGCAACAGGGCAAAGCCAGAAATACAAATCTAAAAGGGGTTCTAGTAAAGTTTACTCTACTAAAGTAAAGCATTTCTATTTCTGTCTGTGTTACGGTTAGTTACCCTCACTTCCTGTCTGATAAAAAGGTCAACAGAGCAGGACGTGTGGATGCATCTAATGGACCCCCCAAATAGCAGTAAAAACCTGAAAGTGTTTCTAACCCCCTCCTCACACCATCAAAAGCTAAGGAAAAAATAAAGTTTTGGCTGGACATACACTTTAAAGGACATTCAAAAGCAAAACTGACCATTTTATCTGCGCATACAGGTGATAGTGGATTCTGTGCACAAACTTAAATTTGCTATGAAGCTTTGTTATTTTGATTGACAACCGATAATTACCCTCCAACCCCCCATTTAATGATCTTCATGTTCCTGCACATCAATCTGGTTGTCAGCTCCACTAAATTCATCAAGAGGTGAAGGTCAACAGTGGAAACCGTAAATGAACAACGAACAACATTTATTTTGCTAAAGCACTGTGTACATGCCTCCAGCAACTGTGCATCGTTTCTCAAGGCAGTCTTTTTTATGGTGACAACAATGGAACATGTCTGTGCAATGTGCATCAGCATGGCTGCCTTTAATCTTCATTGGGATAGCGGGTGACAACACAGGAGAAAAACTGGGAGGCAAGGACTGAGCGTTGTCAACCTGTGACATGAATAACCTTCATGTCAGGATTCCCAGGTACTATTTTATAATTAAAAAAAAACCAAAAACAGATTTTTTAAAGTAATATAGTATTACATAAACGTGTTGACACTTATGAGATTTTAGTGATTGGGTTTACATATATGCAAACTGAATCCCTGTTTATCCACATGCTTGTAAAAGATATTGCCAAGTTACTGGTATTAATACAGATAGACACATAGTGGGGGACCTATCCAGAAATAACAAAAAGTAGTTAGTACAGTTAATATAAATGGAGCAGGCAAATCCACACACATCATTATCATCACCTTGCATCATACACTGGAAGTGAAGAATAATAGCTGCAAAATAATGTAAAGAAGCAAAACAAAAATCATAAACTGCAGCAAAAAGCAAGCAAAAGGCACATCAGATTGTATACTTATATGGGACAGCAAAAGAAAGAAATAGGACTCCATAAAAGTTCAAGACAAACAAATCAGGGCAACATAGAGCTGTCCTCCCCACTGTAGTGAGAGTGGTGGAAAAGAAACTATACAAGGTTTATTGTTTAATTATTTCTGGCCCCTAACCTGTGCTCTACCCACTATGACAGTAAAACCTAAAACACACGACCCACTAACCACTATCAACAAAAATCATGTTTGTGTTTTAATCTTAAAAAACAAGCATATATAACAAATATTTATCAAAGTAGAAAGAGAAGTGAACCCAAAAAAGCTGCCTAATTTACTAGGTGGCTGACTCTAGATAAGCAGTTTGTTAACATCTAGCCGGTTGTTGTGATTATATTATCTTCTGCATTGTTTCTTGGAGCTTATGTCAACTAACACTATAGGGCTTCAGTATTGTTAAGATGCAGCAACCAATCAAAAAAATATATTTACTGCTTTTGACACCAGTACATAGCAATCTGATTGGTTGCTTAGAGTTACTGCATTCTGCCAACACAACTGCACAGCTTTATGGGATAAACCAATTATAATAGGACCTACACTACTATTCTAAAAGAAGGCTAAATAAAACCTGTTACCAACTGTGGACATAGTATTCTCACAGAAGGAATTTTTAGGAAACTAAATATGGCTTCTGATATTGCCTTTCATTAAATTGCTAAAATGTAATTACAAATGACAATTATTAATGCACCAACCAATGAATACAAAAATACATTATCAGAATAATTTTCAACAGAGAGATTATAACCTATTCAGTAAAACAGCAGAACATTTTAAATGAATCCTCAATTGCCTTTTCATGACTTGGAAGCATAACCAGACATCATTTTACTTGCAACTTACCCAGAATGCACTGGACTTGAGACGAGATTGACATTGTCCAGCGTGTCTGCAGCCCAGCTATAGTGTCTCAGTGAGTCAGAATCAAATTCTCTTGTAAATGAAAGATGCTGCAAACAACAATTTTTAAGACTGTTAAAATCAACAAGAATTTAATTCCTTAATAAAATCATGCATTAAATGACAAGAGGCAAAGGACTGCCAAGCTAAGTGTAATTATACTTTCCCTATTGACTTCTGAGCAAAAAGAATATATAAAACTTCAAATAGAAGTCATTTTTCATTTTACACTGGAAATGAGATATTAGGGCTTAACGGCACTCATCAATGTGGCCATACATGCATTTTGAGAGCTCCAGCTATGCAATATTTGAACAGAATGTGTGGATCTTAAGAAAGTATCCTAAAGATGTCATCCTAAACCCTTCACACATACAATTAAATAGAGTCATTGTCCAACCTCATGTATAATTATTAGTAATGGCAGCTGAGACCGATATTTGGAAGAATTTCATTCAACCTGAAGTACTGTTTAAACCAGGAACAACATCATCCAAATACAAGAAGGACTTATGTTTTGTCTTTGTCATACTGATCTACTTGTCTTTTTTCAATAGTTCTGGATGTAACCAATTAGCTTGAAGTGATAAAACAGTGCAATAATAGAATTAATTTCCTCATTAAACCAGAGAATTAGATAATACAAGGTATCCACACAAGGGGTCTGGCACGCAAACAGCAAGATGTTAATTTCCTCTGATCTTATCCCTCAGTCTTTATACATGTGCATAACAATGCACAGACTCTGCCGGGAGACATCTCTATTTACTGCCCTTGCCTGACAATGAATGACTGACCATCGAGCAGAGTTCAGAGTTTAAGCTGAGACATTGTCCAATTAAGGACTAATTGTATAAAAGTTTCTCTCTTGCATATACATAGAGGACAGTTTATCCTGCTCAGAGAGTTTTTCCTCGAAAAATGTAAGGCATCTGCATATGAAGACTGAATTGTGAATGAGGAGGAAATTCCCATGCTTCACAGGGTTATACTGTATTTGAGACACACACACAAGAGAGAAACACAATGTATAAATATATACTGTATGATATATATCTCAGATATCTTCTACTTATCTGGTTACCTGCTCCAGTGCAGCACCCTCCTTTATCTCTCCAAGTTTTGTTGCACAGCTTAATAACTTTAGGAACTGAAATGCCTTCAGGCCGGTCAGACAACAGGCTGGAGACATGTCACTTCTTTCAGGCTGTCTCTATGCAATAGGGAAGTGAATGTATCTGTATGTGCTTAAATGTTCCCAAGAGTTACTCTAGTATAAATTGTGAAAACATTCTGTTCTATAAAGTCAAACACAAAGTACATTTTCTGTATCATTGTCTTAAGGGTGGAGAGTATTGTAAGGATTTCATCTTGGGTGTTCTACATACGTCCTCCCTGCTCAGTGAGAGGGGACAGAACTTAAGGCACTTAAAGCACATCAATGACCTGAGTGACCCCCTGATTGATAGCTCTGTTACGCCTTAGAGTCTATTGGTGACTACCTGTGCTATGCTCTGGTCAAGGATACTTTGGTATAATGAATACCCAAAAGGACAAACAAATATCCACTATAGAAGGACTTGTTCACATTAATGTTTCTTTTTAGGAAGTAAAACATTATTCATTCAATTTTTTTTATATATTTATGTGCTCTTTAATAGTGATTTTAATTTTAAGGCTAATACAAACATTCCTTTTTTTTGTTCTTTTGCTGGCATTTCAAAATCAACCACTAGCATGACATCACACACTTCATACAAGAGGACTTGATAATCACATTTCCCTATGACAGAAATAAGGTACTTTTTTTTATCGGTAGTTCATGCTTTAAATACAGCCCTGAGTGTTCTCTGCACACTTCCAAGAGGCAGGAAGCAATAGAGTGTAACGATACTTCTGAGACAGAGGCCTCCAGCAGAATTCTGTATAACTGAAGATTGTGCAGAGTCAATGTAAAAATTAAAATATGCAAAACTGACAGCAGTCAAAAGCCACAGTAATCTATAAGGCTCGGGGGCCCCATGCGATCCTTCGACACTTACTTTGTAGCCCTCAGGACCCCTGCAGACAGTATTCTGTGTTTTCCTTAACTAGGCACTTACTTAGGCCAGTGAAGGAAAATATTCTTTAGACTGGCTTCTAGTACTTAAATGGTTTGTTTTTTCACAGTGTCCTACTTTTTTCCATGCTATCAATCCCTTTTATCTTTTCTAGGTTTTACTTTTTCTTTTGATTTTAATAGATGCTAAAAGAAATACATTGTATTTAATGTGGCAATAGTGATTAACAAGGGGGCTATAGGGTGCACAAATGTAGACATATTTATTTATAATGAGGATGCAATACAAGTGATCTCTCTCTCCAATCTCTAAGTCTCCAGAAGTCATATAGCATGTCTGCAGTTTCTGACAGCTATCTGTAGCATTGTATTCACTGAATATTATGTGCCGTCCTTTGTAGATGTCAGGGACCAAACCTAAGACTTCCTAGATCATGAAAGTTGATCACCACTGCTATAATAGATACATTTTTTGTGGGGGTGTAATATTATCCCAGGCACCTGTATCTTATGGCACCAGTAATATTCTGATTTGACAATATTTATTTTCTTATATCCATATGCTATGATTGTTTTGCCTGTACCAGGAAAAAGGATCTCTTCAGTAACCACAAATCAAGTACAGCGGTACCTCGGTTCACGAACGCTTCTGTTCGCGAACAAATCGGTTCCCGAACAGGAAGTTCGGAAAAATGTTGCCTCCGTTTGCGAACTCCGCATCGGGTGATGAACTGCAGCCACCTTCCTTGCTCTGACACATGGTCATGGCTTCCTCTAGTCGAGATTGCGGTCTGATCACAGTTTGATTTGCGACCAGAATCGTGAAACAAATTAAGTTCATGAACCAAGGTACCACTGTAGTAGGCTCATCAATAGTTGCTTGCTTCTGAGCAGAGCCCTGGAATCAGCTTGGATTCCGGCTTACAATGGGGTACAGTACAGGACTAAACTCCATTACCTCTACTCCCTTGCATCACACAGCTAGGAAGCAAATGGAATGATTCTTCCACCACACATAGTTCTTTGTTGGCAATATCTACATAATGGAAACCTTATTGCATTGTCTATACTGACTCATATAACATAGATAATCTTGTGCAAGTGGATTACAATTACCTATTAGTTCAGGTGCATCCAAGGATGTTTTCCTGCCAAGAGCTTTCTCTTTTCATTAATAAATGTATTATTTATCCACCTGACAGTTGTTTGTAGTAGGACTGTCAGACAGTGTCCTGAAGTTAAGCAGATGGTTTACGAATACTGGCCTGCAATACTGTGATTAAAAAGTCTTTTCATTTTTAATTATTATGTTACTGAGCTGTATTCAAGTTCACTGTCCAGTCAAATAGGAACAAAGCAAATTGAAGAAATCACAAAGAAAATGGCCCACAGTGATAGGCAAAGTGGTGTTATAAACCATCAAAATATTACAAAATACTGAGTCGTCTAATGAACCAATTCTACATTTGGATCTTGGCCATTTATAGGCTACAGTGTTCCACTATACTCTTACCAACTATGTTTCTCTGAGATGACCCACTGTGACATAACCCTTAAGGTGTACCTAAGAACAAAAATGTAATGTTTTGCACCTTCCCAGTCCTTAGATGTGCTGGCTGCATTTCGTTTCTTTTTTTTTTTCTTTTTTTTCTCCTGGTGATCCTGCTAGCAACACATTTCTTGTCCCAAAGTGACAACACTCTTTCACTGCATTGTATATATGGATGAAAAGTGCTGTCACCCTAGGTGAGGAAGTGTGTTAGGATGATAAAACACCCTCTCCTTATCTCCATAACATAGGAGGAAGTTGATCTGTAGCTTATAGAGGTAGCCTAGGCAGGGCTGGAAAGATTGCAGATCGCATAGGACAGAGGACAATACTGAATTTCTGGCAGGATCACAAAGTATTCTTTTGCACTTAAGCATGTAATACAAAGGGCCGGACTTGTTATCCTGTTTAACCAGTTTTCTTTTCCAGACACCTCTGTGGTACACTATACAGGAACCTGACCATTTACTAAGCTTTACTGCTTTTGGATAGTGAAAGAACAGCAGCTCACCAATGAGGTTAGATCTGTGATCTCACCTCCAATTGTCAAGCAACATTTGTTAGGATTTGCAGCACTGTGCAATGCAGTTAGGACTTAGTGTGCAATGTACAGTACAGTTCAGCCCATTCCTCCCCCAGGGTGAATACTGATGTGGAGTGGATTATTACAAGACGCCTGCACAGACTGAGCTGTTTAAAAAAAATCATTTTTAGTGATTATAGATGGCTTAAATGGGAGTCTTTTACATTTGCATACATTTATAAGCATCCCTAAGTGTGTTCTCATCCCTAGAATCTCCTATGTTATTAAGCCTGGGCTACTATGGGCCAGTTCAAGTTGCTGCTGAAGTTTGCACTTAGTCCTCCCCATTACTAAATAACATTTTGCTTATAGTCTCCTTGGCACACAGCTTGAGAAGAACAGCTGAGGGTTGTTTATGAAATAAGAAGCATGTGCGCCTAATGATGGATTAATAGAAGGTCACTTGCAGGACTGTATACTTTCCTATCCAGCAAGAGCATATACTGATTATGTTGTTTGGGCTTGAAGCAATTAAATTGCCCAGGAAATTTAAATATACGTAATTAGAGCATTAGAGACCTTCTATCACATTTTTAGTTTACCCTCAGTAATTAATCATTTCAGCAAAGATTTCAGCCTTTTTCTTCAATAATTACAAGCTAATTCCCCTTGATATTAAACTCTGTGCTTTGATCAATTAACCCACAAATAACCTTGGTAGTCCTGACACCAAGATCTGGGTCAGCAGCATGACCAATGATTTTTTCAATCTGCATTGTAAATAAATGGAGAATGCAAAAGGCAAAGATGAGTCCACCTTGATATAGCTATGATCTGTGACAGAAGCTAGGAATCATAATGCTGATATCCCACCAATGGAGCTGCTGAAAGATGCTGGAGGGTAATCCCAATGCATTGGCATTTACCCAAATCTAAAATGAATGTTATGTGATCATCAACCCTTTAAACACAGCCTAAACCTTATTCACACAATGGCAGTGCGGATCATTTACTGTAAAGCCTATTCACTTAGCTTAGTGAACTGTGTTCACTCTAGTCACTCAGTCACATACATAAAAATATCCAGTTTTTTTCCTTGCACATGATTGGGTATTCCAGGGTCACTGAATATTCAATGTACAAAGTGCAGTGAAATTTTTAAAGTGACACTAAACTTAGAAGTTAATCTATTAAAAATGCAGCTTATTTGTACTGTACTTCACTCAACTGCAGATCCTCAAACCACCTCTGAATTGGTGCTGACACTGTCCTTCCTTCTGGAGGGGGGCTACTTTTGTTCCCCATGGTCCCTGTGTATGTTGTAAAGTTGCCACCGCTCCAAACTTGCTCACAAGATGGACTAAAATACCAATACAAATCAGCTAACTGTGAGATTGTAGTCCATCATAGGAGTGAGCTTAGAGTGGTGGCTACTTTACAGCACAGAAAGGGACCATGGGGAACAAAAGTAGCTAGAAGGAAGGACAGTGTCAGCAGTCAGCACCAATTCAGAGGTGATTTCAGGATCTCCAGCTGAGTGATACACAAATAAGATACATTTTTGTTAATAGTTAAGGTACTTGAATGTATTTTTAAGATTTAACTCTTGCATTTAGTGTCACTTTAATTGAACAAGCTCTACTACTTTTGTTACTCAACCCTTGTTTTTCTATATGGATGCAACCATCGTCTTTCCACTACAAAGTCTTACTTTCAAGTAGCCATTCTGACTATTTGAGTTCAATACTGAGGGCAGGAGAAATATACAAATGTTCTAAAGATATCTCATTTAGAGTGTAAGCTCTCACAATCATGGACCTCCTAACCATTTTGTCTTGAATTTTAACTTTACTGTCTTTGTTTATATTCTAAAGAGCTGCAGCAAACTGTTGGTGCTATATACTGTAAATCCTGTATAATAATAATGTTAACAGAAATGTTATTGTTGCACAATATCCCTGAAACAAAGGAACAGAAGGGGTGAGCTGAAAGAGCTGGCAAGTATTGTTTGCCATCGCATACAGAGGTTTACATGATAAATAAAGCAGTAAGTACATTTATAATTGCAGACAACAAGATACGATCCAGTGATGATTGTGCTAGGTGTATATAATTTGTATGTATAACCACTTTGGATTAATGCTTCCTTTTAAAGTGACACTAAATGCAGGAATTAAAACTTAAACATGCATTCAAGTACCTTAACTATTTACAAAGATGTATCTTATTTGTGTATCACTCAGCTGTAGATCCTCAAATCATCTCTGAATTTGTGCTGACAATGTCCTTCCTTCTGGAGGGTGGCTACTTTTGTTCTATGGTCCATGTGTGTGTTGAAAAGTAGTCACTGCACCGGGGTTGCTCCTGTGATGTACTTCTCAATACAAATTAGTAGGGATGCACCGATACACGGTTTTTCGGTATCGAGTACTGATACTTTGCTTTCGGAACTCGTTGATACCGAGTACCGATACCAATGCTTCCGTTGGCATGGAGCCAGCTTCCCAGGCAATCTGATTGCCCGAGAAGCTGGCTCCATGTTGTCTGGCCAGCTTGATTGTGCATGGCCGGGAAACCGGCCTCGCAGCCAATCAGCATTGAGCAGGCTTCTTGGCTAATCAGGAAGCTGGGAGGTGGGTCATTACTCGCCGCCCAGCTTCCTGATCGCATGGGAAGCTGGCTCCATGTTCCCCTATGGCACTGCCAGCCAGAGGAAATAAATTCCATTATTGGAGAAGGTATGGGAGTATTTGGGCGAGTATGAGTACTCGCCCAAATACTCAGTATCGCCACTGATATTGATACTAGTATTGGTATCTGTGCATCCCTACAAATTAGTAAAGTAAACATGAGATTGTAGTCCATCACAGGAGTGAGCTTGGAGCGGTGACTGCTTTATAACACAAACAGGGACCATGGGCCACCCTCTAAAAGGAAGGACAGTGTCAGCATGAATTCAGGGATGATTTGAGGATCTACAGCTGAGTGATAACCAAATAAGCTACATTTTTGTTCATAGGTAAGGCACTTAAATGCATTTTAAGTTTTAACTCCTGAGTGTAGTGTCACTTTAAGTTTATCATAAAACTAAAATGTAAAATGTAAGCTTATTTTATACAGAATGCCTTGTTTTAGGAACAAAATTCCTGCAGATGTCCTCATCAATACAATGTTCATATTAACTTTTGTATAAAAAGGTATAAATACCTGTTCCTTTGAAGGCGCGAGGAGTTCTTCGATCATCATACTGTCCCGAGCGAAGGAACTCCTGTTCAGTGTATAGGACCTATCCGAACTGAAGGAGCGGAGGCTGTTGTTGCATTTACAATATACCACAGTACACGCAGATGACAATGAAATGGATGAAAAAACAAAAAACAAAAACACAAAGGAAGAATGAATGCAGCTTCCAGGGCAAAATGGAATATGATAAAAATGGATTTGATCACTGACACACATAAATGGTGAGCTCAGAAAAGTGCAGCTAGAACAGAGCTTAAACAATTTTTATTTTTTAATTCTAAATGTGAGAGAGAAAATCATTATCTTTTGTTGAACCTTACAAAGGAAAACATAGATATAGTTGTATTTGAATATTCATGTAAATTAACTTTGCAGTGTACTTTGATTTCAGATTGAACCCTGGAAGGTACATGAAGGGAAAAATCCAAGCCAAAACCTATAACTAAAACACAAATTAAATCCAGTTCAAACCAAACATCCACCAAGCCACCATCACTCCAATCAAAGAGTCTACATGCAGCTCAAAATTAAGCCATCAGAGTAGTGGCAAAATAATGGCATTAAGGCGGTTTGAACACATGACGTTAACAGCACAGTTAAATGCAGCTCATTTACAATGATTTGTATGAATATTTCAGATGCAGAGTCTGAGTAGAACGTTTGTAATAAGAAATGGAAGCCTCTCAGAATGAAGCATTCTGGATGGTTAGTGCAGGATCATTATCTGTTGAGCATTGGTTGGACCTTTAAGGGACAAGAGGCAGCAAAAGCTATCATTGATATTTCATTGAAAGTTCAATTTTGCTCTGTAATATAGCTCCCACTGTTACAGAATGTTTATGCACAATGCCAAGGATAATAGGGAATAAGAATAAAAGCCCTAATTGAATCCTGTCACTAGTCACAAGCCCTGAGTGATGAGAGATGGTCTGTTCATGGCTTTATAAGGAGACTGTGGGTTGGACACGTTGATACTGGACCTGGGGGTGGGGGGCTATGATCCTTCATGGGGGCCCTAAGTAGCGGTAAAAAATTATGTTATGGTTATACTATAATGTTGTTTTTTATCTGTATTGCCCCACTATACTTTACACAAGCAAACTTTCCTCTACACAAATTAGCATAAGCCTATCAGCAGCATATCAAGTTCAGCTTGACAAAGCAATGAGAAGCTACACTATATTGCCAAAAGTATTGGGAGGCCTGCCTTTACACGCACATGAACTTTAATTGCATCCCAGTCTTAGTCCGTAGGGTTCAATATTGAGTTGGCCCACCCTTTGCCGCTATAACAGCTTCAACTCTTCTGGGAAGGCTGTCCACAAGGTTTAGGAGTGGGTTAATGGGAATGTTTGACCATTCTTCCAGAAGCGCATTTGTGAGGTCAGGTACTGATGTTGGACGAGAAGGCCTTGCACGCAGTCTCCACTCTAATTCATCCCAAAGGTGTTCTATCGGGTTGAGGTCAGGACTCTGTGCAGGCCAGTCAAGTTCCTCCATCACATACTTGCTCATCCATGTCTTTATGGGCCTTGCTTTGTGCGCTGGTGCACAGTTATGTTGGAACACGAAGGGGCCATCCACAAACTGTTCCCACAAAGTTGGGAACATGAAATTGTCCAAAATGTCTTGGTATGCTGATGCCTTAAGAGTTCCCTTCACTGGAACTAAGGGGCCAAGCCCAACCCCTGAAAAACAACCCCACACCATAATCCTCCCTCCACCAAACTTTACACTTGGCACAATGCAGTCAGGCAAGTACCGTTATCCTGGCAACCGCCAAACCCAGACACTACCATCGGATTCCCAGACAGAGAATCATGATTCGTCACTCCAGAGAACACATCTGCACTTCTCTAGAGTCCAGTGGCGGCGTGCTTTACAACCCTGCATCCAATGCTTTGCATTGCACTTGGTGATGTAAGACTTGGATGCAACTGCTCGGCCATGGAAACCCATTCCATGAAGCTCTCTTCACACTGTTGTGTGCCAATCTGAAGGCCACACGAAGTTTGGAGGTCTGTAGCTATTGACTCTGCAGACGGTTAGTGATTTCTGCGCACTGTGCACTTCAGCATGAGCTGACCCTGCTCTGTCATTTTACGTGGCCTACCACTTCATGGCTGAAGTTGCTGTTGTTCCCAGTTGCTTCCACTTTGTTATTACACCACTAACAGTTGACCATGGAATATTTAGTAGCAAGGAAATTTCACGGATGGACTTATTGCATAGGAGGCAACCTATTACGGTACCATGCTTTAATTTACTGAGCTCCTGAGAGCAACCCATTCTTCCACAAATGTTTCTAGAAGCAGTCTCCATGCCTAGGTGCTTGATTGTATAGGCCATGGAGGTGATTCGGAACTCCTGAATGCAATGATTTGGAGTGGTGTCCCAATACCTTTGACAATATACTGTATTTAACATGTTTATACTATATGCCTTTTCTAATTATTTTATATATCTTTATTGAGAATCTTGACCTGCAAGGTCCAGCTATTTCAGTTTACACATCTCCTACACTGTGGAAGTAGCCATTGAGTGTTCTTAATCTGAGGGGGGATGGGGGACTTAAAGCCCAATCAACCCTTCAGTTTAAACCCACTTAGTATATTCCAGGTGCATCAAAACAAATGGTGTTCAACGTACTAGTTTGTTTTCTCTCTAAAGCAGCCACAACCTAGTAGACAGATATGTGTACTGCCAGCATGATGCAGAGGAGGATCCTTGCTGTCTGTAAGCAGAGGTCTCCAATCAGCAGGGAGCAATACCTTTGCTGAATGCGGAGCTACAGGTGTGATGCAGTAGGGGGTGTGTCTGACCTTTATTGAGAGACCACTGCTTCCCCACAGAGAGCAAAGGACCCACTGTGCTACTCAGGCTGCTGCTGCTTTAGTAGGAAAAACTGACATTGCACACTTTTTGTTTTGATGTATCTGGAATTAGCTGGATTAAACTGAAGGATAAATTGGGCTTTTAAGTCCAGGAGACCCAACACAATTTGTGCAGAGCAGGGCAGGTGTTATATCTTCATAGCTTCCAATCTTTTTGGAACCATTGACATCTCTGGGACAGAATTCCTGGTAAGACGACGCATGCACTTGGGGGTCACATGAACACTGTCTGATGCATAGGTGATGGTTACCCAGCAGCAGATAATATCACTATTTGATTTCTGGGAGAAACAGGAAAAGGAAGACTTATGCCGAATGGTAAGAAAAAAACTTTGTTTAAACATAAAGAGCATATAAGAAACAAGTTTCTGACAATGGAAATAGAGAAAATAAATATCACACCACAGCACAATATGAATGAAAATGAGCAAACGATAAAAAGCAACATGTCATATGGATTACATGCTTTCTTACCTGACTTTAGGACTAGTTTAAAGTAATTTATTATGACAGAGAAAAAAAAAGTAAGAATAAAAAAAAAATCAGATGCAGCAAATGTAAACGTAGAAATGATCAAACTGTTCAGTTATATCTACATGTTATACACAATCTTATTTGCAATTTTTTTGTGAATTTATATAAAAATTGTATATTTTGTTTTGAAAAATTACCACATTCTATGCATATAACATGTAGACCATGATTTTATAAGCAAAAGAACAGATAAAATATGAATACGTATACTTGGAAATGATTTATTATGTACTCCCCAGCTGATTAAATTTTGTACAGGTCACAGAATCAAGCCCCAGGGTTATACACTAGGTCTTTAAAAGTTTATATTTGAATAATTTCAGATCTGTAACTATAGAACTCCTGCCATATTCATTTCAGGCCTCCTATTCACAAGAATATTCTTTTATGTTATCTACATATCCACACGGCAAGATGATCACCTCCTAAAAGTACCCATACACCTTACAATTATCATTCGGAAAATGAATGCAATCCAATTTTGGTAAGATAATCGGCGAGTTGATGGGTAGTGCACGATCGCAAATACTGTACAACTGGCAGAATTTGATTGAACGGGCAGACTAGAAAACTTTCGGCAGAACGGACGAAAATCAATTGATTAGTGGCATTTTCGTACAACAAAAATTGCAACATGAACACTGCACAAACGAAAATCCGCTCTGTCGATCAGAGAAATTTGGCCAGTTAGTATTGCGAACAAAAGATAATCGAAAACTACATTGGTCTGTGCATGATGGGGTATTCGAGCGGAAATTGAACAGGTGTTTGAAGACGGGACAAAATAATTGAACAATAATTGTAAGGTGCATGGCCAGCTTTATCCTGATGATTTTTGGCAAGAGCAGGGAATGAACAAGATATATGTATGTACTTCACACAGACCACAGCAGAAACATTTATTTGGCATTATTGGTGGATAAATTAGCACACCTGACAAAATGGAGCCACTGATATCTGCTGAGCATACAAGACATTTAAGGTCTTCTATTTCCAGTCTACACATCTATGTGAAATTCAGTAAAGTTAGAAATCATTTGGTACCTAGCCCCAAGAATACAGGTAGGCATCTTGTGTTAAATGCCAAAGGGCACTTGGATCCGTTGTACCATAAATGTGTCTCTCACCAGTCAGCATGAGATACATTTACACAAAATGGACACTATTCAAAGTTTGCTAAGGGGCTATAGCTCTATAAAAGTTTTATTAGTTGAACATTTGCCGGACAGAAAACAAACTGCCCTGTAATCCAAAATGCTGACATTAATCTCTACAAAACACACTGACTTATTTGTTTCAGGCTTTGAATAAGCTTCACAGAGAATGTGAGGCTGTGTGAGTGTTCACAAAACTCCAGAGAATACAGACAGCAATATCTCAGCCCACAGAGTCTTAACAGGCCTGAATTCCAAATGCAAAGTGTAATATCCTGATAAATTGATGGGCGTTGGGTTCCCCTAGAGCCATGCGAAATCATTAGCTATATTATCCTGTAAAACTCTATCCTTCTGCCTGCCAAACTAGTTGGTACGGATCTAGGTTTCTATAGTGAAAGCTAAACACACAGAAAATTAGCACTAAAATGGAAAAATGTGTGTATGTATTTTTATTATAGATTTTCTGTTCAACGTATGCATCATTTGTGCATTTTACATGAATACATGGGGTGCTTTATTATTTATCAGATTCCTTTTAGGTCTGGGGCCTTGCACTTCAGAAGTACTAACAAGAATGAAAAGGTTGCCATCACAAGAAAATAAATAAAAAGCTTGTGTGTTTGGGGTTTCATATGGCCTTTATGGAAAATAGATACTAGTCAACCTTTCATTAAACTGTGATCAAGTGTAGGCAGTCGTCTGACTCCGTTCTGAGAATGCAGCATTCATTTTTTCAGATCTAGTCATCATGCAGTTCTACGCACAAGTAAAGTGTAGGCTTAACCTACACAGGTTATTTTCAGTTGCATGACTAAAACTGCAAGCATTCAGTCTCTGAACTTTAAAGGGTCGCCCCACCCCAAATGATATTTCATTTTTGAATAAATGTCTGTACTCAAATGAAGTTATTTGCCAAGAGGGCACTTTAACTGAAGAGGGGGAAGGCGTGGCATATGCTTCAATCAAAGAAGTCAAGGTCTCCATGGCACATGCAACGTAATCTCAAACATGGCACATAGAAGGCTTTTCTAGATCAGGGAGGTAATAGCAGACCTTGTGGTGCCTGGCCATAGGCAACACTTTTAGATGGTCAGAGAAAAAGTTCAGCAAAGTGTTTTCAGCAATGTTTCAAATTCCATAATTAAAGTGGACTCAGCATCAGATATATTATTTCATTTCAAGGGCATACAGGCCAAGTAATGTTTAGAAGTTATAGGTATTTATTACCTCGGCTGTGTTCACAAATGTGTGAAACAGATCAGTTGCCTCCTGCATCCTCTCAGCTTGTGACATGCTAAGTTACAATGTCAGAGTCTGATCACAGGGGGGGCGGGACTGAAGAAATGCTTCCTACAGCTCAGGAATGGTTCTTTAGTGATCACAGTTAAAAGTAAAATGATTTTAAAAATATACTGCTGCTGTAAATTATGTCAGATCCACCTCAAGTTACTGAAAAGCTCATTTTAGACATGCAGACAATGAATGTTTACAGAAAGTACCACAACGCCGAAGTGAGCTCAATGTACTTTTGTTAATGGTGAACCTATAACTATATATCACATGACTATTCCAATCCATACTGAGAATATTTTGAAGCTAAGAGATTAGGATTCATGTGACGCTCATGAACTGATCCTTGCTTTAATTTTCATAGGAACATAATAGTGCATGCCTAAGTAAATGATTCGTAGGATTACACTAGGATTGTGAGATTGCACTAATAGTATGGCATTATTGAAGGTGTTTCAACTGCTCATTAGCCAAACGTAAAGGTTCTCACAGACAAAAGGAAAAAGTTTGCTCAAAATGCTATTATCCATGAACAAGTACTGCGTCATCGGTGTTATGGAAAAGTTTATTTAAAAGTTAGGGGACCCTGTGCCAATCTCCATTTTGACCACTCACTGGCATTATCATGGCTTGTTAATATGAAACACAAAAGTTCTGAGGTCATTTCTAGACCATAATCAAATGCTGAAGTCACCTGCATCCAAATCTCTTAGATTTCTAAGTTTTAATTAAACCTCTCCAGATAAGGATGCAAGGCAGATGGTTTACATTTGCTTGTATTCCTCCTTCCTTGCCATTTTGAGATTAGCCATCTCAGCAGCCTGTAAGTACAGACAGACATTCACTAAGAGATATCAAAGGAGGTTGTTGCATTGTCCAGAGGTTCCTTGGATGTATAGGAAGCTAAACTGGTAGCATGAAATAGAGTAGGTCCTCATAAAGAGGACCTACAGTGAAATAACACATCATAAAAAGCCCTCCTTTTGAACCACACCCTTTAGTGCATAAAAGTTAAAAGAAACCCCACAATAATTATCTCTTGTGTAGAAAATACTGGTTTGTGCTTCCACGCTGACTGTTCACATGAACAAATGTCTATTGGCTAAATGATTTAAACTGAAGGGACCAATTGCCAGCTTGCCTTCAGCAGAGATCATAGGACCAATACCTAAGCATTTTTTGCACATAGCTGGCCACCATGGAGTCTGAAGTGGTGTTTTCTGCAAGGTAGAGAAACATATCATGGGTTCTTTCAACATTTTTAAAATTTAAAGAGAGAGTGGGTTGGGCAGAAGGGTGGAGGAGGGGATTATCATTACTTCATAGCCATGCCACTATCAGCCCAATTCCTTGCCCACCTGCTCCCACATTATTAGGGTGCATCAACACCTATATGTTTTAACGCATGTATCATTATCTTGAATGCAACCATCTTCATATTTTAGTGCGCTGTGGTCTGCAAAAATGGTGTTAACGGAATTGAAGTGCATTACATATAAATGAATGGTAATATGTAAAACATGCATACGTGTAATGCCCGTTATGAAAAAAAAGGAGGAAGGGAACAACTTTTAGAAAAGTAGTTCCATAATTGCTTTTAAAAACACGATGCATGTAAAATGCACTTGAAACGCACATAATATGCACTGAATACACACTGCAAGCACACAGCAGTGAATTATAAAGCATATAAAACATGCATGCACACCTGTGTTAAAACACACTTTTGCAAGTATACAGGTGTGAATGCACACATAAAATAGGGAAACATATAAATATACAGAGTTCACCACCAGGAGGGTGTATGTAGGACATCCTTAAATGCACAGTGGTACTGGAAGGCTGCTGACAACTAATACATTTTGAGGCACATACCATGTGTATGAGCAGTATCATTGTGTAGTCATCCGCAGCTTGCCTATGAAGCTCTGCATTAGAGAATGTTCCGCAACATTATCTTTGATGACACATACTCCATCATTAAAAGTAAGTAACTAATAATGTAGGACAGTAAATTGGTAAAGGCACAGTAAAAGGGAGAGCTGGGCCGTGTTTGAATCAGGGCCCATACTGCTTGAGCTATACCACTGCCTGCAAGTATCTGTATATCTTAACATTATTATTTTATACAGGTTTATATAGAGAAACTGGCTAGGACTATTCAAGTGGTCATGCTATAAACACATCTTGCAGTCTGAACACCGTTCACTGTATTACAGCAGATGTAAGCATTTTGGACTTGCTTGTAATAACGACATGAAAAAAACAAAAAAGAAGACATAAAAAGAACACACAGTTTCTAATCAGAGTTGACCTTTCTCTATTCAGAAATACAATTCAATTGGTTACTGTTCATCGTGCAGATGTATTACCTAAACTTGTATATTTGCTTACCACTGGAAGATAATACGATTAATCCAATGCACCAACCACAATTAGACATACTTCTGTGATTATACCTATATATATATATTATATGTAATATTTGCTTGTTTAAGTCCAGAACAAATAGAAATAGGCAGCCTTGCATGCTAAAATTTTTGTGTTTTTTTAACTATCTATGAATCTGGAGTCTTGCGTGAATGAAAAATCAAAAAAAAGATGGTAAAATGTATTAAAATGGTAAACATGGATTAAACAATTTGTAGCCACAAAGACCTACCTGGCAGATCTGGCTCCTAGACTGAAGCCCATATACCCTTCTTGGGGTAAAGAATCGTCCCCCAGTTCTTTCAGGTCTTGTGGTCCAAGGTACTTGTCAGTGTCACCCGTCAAAGCATCCTCACCTAAGAAAACAAAATGACTGTTTATTCTAATGCTGATGTGAGGAAATTCTCTCATTGAGGTCTCTGACAACACATCGATAGATTACCAGCCCCAGGCCTTTTTCCATGCAATGATAACAGTATGTACACCAAGCACCAGAACAAATATAGCAATAGACTTTTCTCTGTTAGTATATCACACAAAACTGAAAGTGTTAATGGCAACCCATTTTATTTGCTAGTTTCTATATGTCTATATTGTTATCAGGCATTTTAAGACTGTTTCTTCTTTCTTTCTTTGAAATTAAATTAAAAAAAGCCCATTGATCAACATGAACCTGAGTCGGCTACTGATGAGCTGCTGTTCAATATCAATATATGAATAAATGCACAAATTCCATGTCATTAATGAAAACAACACTGGAATAGAATATGTAACTATATAGAGGTAACATATGTCTTAGCAATATCCCCTTCGCACACCGTACAGATGTAGCCCAGAATCCAACGGGTGCTAGAACTGTGCACTTTTGGTTATTGACACTTTGCCTGACAAAGACCCTGTGAGTCTCTGAAATGTTGCATCCATATTTCATGCTAAAGGAATACGAATAAAGAAGACATTCCAAAGCAGAGTGTTGTGTGGACAACTTATCTTCTAGATTATATCCAGGGAACAGTATGGTACCCTTAAGACTACCCACAGATATAAGACAACTGTCCAAAGGTGTGGGCGCTTTTGAATCAAATATTTGTCTCCAACAAGGTCATTGATTGTTATCTGTAAAAAAGATTTTCAATCACAAAAAAATATCTATTGGTAAAATTTTTCAGCCAGGTTTAGTCAGATGAACAATCTTTAAAGCATCTCAATTTGTGCATCTCAAGATGACTGTGCAAATATAGATGCACACAAAAATGTACATTTCCTGTTCCTGGAAGCATTATTTTATTATTGTATATGTATTCTGTAAAAGAACAATTTTTCTAACAGATAAGGTTGTTACTGTTTGCGGAGAGATCTTTTGTACTAAATATTTTCCCAATCTGTCAATAACTGCCTTATATGTATGGATAGCCTAAGTCTGATTAGTTGTTAAGTGCAGTACCTCAACACCTCAATATACCCTTAGGGTTTATTCACACCAGCCCAGCTACTGTGCTCCAACATAGCGCAAAGAAAAGGTCCTGCATGCTACTTTTCCATTTGTTGTCCTGTGTGGTTTCAGTCAAGTCTATTCAACACTTCAGCAAAAGGCATGTCAAAACACCCAACAACCTATGTTGCCCTGCAAAGAACACAGTATAAGTACTCCTTAAAGCAGTGGTCTCCAACAATATTAGCTGAGGTTCCCCATTGGCGATTAGCCAGTTGCTCAGGTATACCTTTGAACATATAAGCTAGGAAATCATATATCACTGTTAACTGATTTTACAGTATATCCAAATGCTATACAAATAGATGTGCTAAAAATGTATTCTCTCGTTAAAGGCAAAACATATCCCAAAAATACAATTTCATTAAAGTTGCTCCCAGTGGCCTTGTTTCTATATCATAGAACACAGAATCTCTTCTGGATTTTCCAGGGAAGCTTTTAAAAGAGAGCTCAGGCAAGCCTGTATTATTCTTATTATTTTCATTGTACAGTTGTATATTTCCAGCAATTTGCACTTTACAAAATAAAGGGAGACAGCACAGTTACAACACAATTCAAAACAAGGTTAGGAGGGCCCTGCTCGTGAGAGCTTACAATGTAAAAGGGAGGGGTAACTCATACAAAGGATAATAGCTGTGAGGGATGAAGGAGAAAGTAAAAGTACAGTTTGTAAATGCAGGTGGGATAGACTTCCCTGTAGAAATTAGTTTTCAGGGATTGCCTAAAAGAGAGAGAGAGAGAGAGAGAGAGCGCAAGAGAGAGAGCAAGAGCTGGAAGGAGAGGAGTGGATGGTTTGTGTGATATTTTGAGATGAGTTTGGTGATGTAGCTCGGGGCAGAGTTGTGAATGGCTCTGTATTTGTTGGGTGAGCTGAGCCAGTGGAGGGCGATAACAAGGGAGTAAATTAGAAGTTTTGTGGTGTCATTGGTTAAGAAGCGGGGTATTTTAGGGACATTATGGAGGTGACTATTCTTTGCATTAGGAATACCAAATGAACACGTTTGCACTCCTGCTTGTGGTACCAAGCAATCTGAGAACAGGAAAAGAAGAGTGATCAGAGGTCAACCATATAGGAAGCACCGAGTGAGATAACCACTTGGCATCTCATGGATACACGGATTCAGATTATGATAGCTGGAATGTAAGGCAATTATTCAGTCTGTGGGTTGTTTGCAACACTCACAGCCACCTGTTCGCGTGGGAAGAATTCAGCAATGAGTTTTTTTTCCCCAGCATTCACTAATGTTCCTAAAAGATTATCCCCTGTGAGAAGTATTTGCACCCCGCATACACATGATGTTTAGATGTCAAGATCCACGCTTGTATTTATGCAAAAGAAAAAATCGGTAGTTCTATCAGTCTGAACATCCATTCTCCGTCTCATGCATTAAGCTGGTGCAGAATCAGAAGTCATTCAACCATCCTAAAGCTAAGATATTTTAATGGGGAGGAGAATAGCAAGGACAAAAATTGCTGCCAGTGTCGGCTTAGCAAGGGGAATCAATACGACTCCTAATGATCAAGTTGTATGCAAAATAAAATCTAAACAAAGTCTGATTACGTTGTTAGTTTCTGTATCTTCTGTGGTTTATTGGGATTATCAGTCAAGTTATGAGCACTGTGTCTCATATAATATCAATAATATAATGTTTGCTTAGGTTTACAAACACAATGCTATTTGACTACCTTGGAACAAGTACACCTTGCAGACAGACTGTTAAACTTCCTGTTTTCAGTGACAGCTGTTAGTTAAACTATTACCTCGAAAATGTCTCTTGTACGGAAGGTCACAAAATGAGGAACACTTTCCTGTGTGGGAACTTGGCTTTAAAAATACACAAAATTTAGGCTTTCTAAAACCATCGTAAATATAAATAAGTTCTTGTGCACAATTTTAAAATGGTGAATAAAGCACAATGCATGGCGAGTTAAGCATAACAGCCCAACACTAATGTAAGCTGACTAAGTGATTGTATGTTATGACTCTCTAAATTTTACACAAAGCCACAATTACAAATAGGCACAGAGTCACAGAGGTGGCTTCTCCCTGGATCATTATTCTGTCACACGTTGTTTTTCCCATCATAATAAAACACACAGTCCTCCCTTATTTACACATTGTTACAATGTCCTAAGCCATGTTACAACCAGGAAAACAAGAATAAGTTCTATGTAAAAGAGAATCAGGAGGAGTGTTGCTTTAGATGGCAATAATTATGTGCCTATAGCAGTGGTGTAACTACAGCCATAGCAGCCCAGGCGGCTGGTATGGAACCTGAGTATGGGAGGGCATCCCATTAGGTTGCAAGAGTAGGACTGGTTGCAGATGACGACAACTCTAATCCCCTGCAAAGTCTACAGTGTAAAGACTACTTCAGATGCACAAGAGGATTCTATGGGATCTTGGCATCATTACTCACAGCTTAGAAAACCTTATCGGCCCACCCCACATCACATTTTTGCTATGGGGGCCCATGATCTGTCGTTATGGCCCTGGCCTACAGGCTACAGTGATGCCATCCTGATGGACCATACAGTATATGTTATTGCTGTTGATGCGAGTTATAACAGAACCAACGTAACTAAAATGAAATTTACTCTTGCATAAAAATTACTAATGCACAGGCAACATCACTAATATAAGACACACGTGTGTGACTATCTATATTTACAGTTTCCAGTATCTGCATAAAATCTGTAATTTTGCTTTTACTACCAATATTAATATTTAGTTCCATAGTGCCAACACATTCTGCCATGCTTTACACAACACCAAAACTGCCTGGAGGGGGGGTTTACATAGTATTGTCTTTATAACATTCGGAGGGCTGGCTTCCCCAAAATTAAAGCAAACCTTTCTAGAGAAAAATATAAGGTCTCATTCAAACTGTAGAACCTGGCATTCCTGTGGGAGGAATGCCAAGTGTCACTATTTTTTAAATCACTAGCCTGGAACAAATATGGAAAGGAGGATTTTTCACTATACTGTGACTTTCTGATCTACATTATTCTTCCAGGTCAGTGACTTAGAATGTATTGAGGCCAGAGGGATAGTGTAAACGTTGGGCAGATAGCATTGCAGCAGGAGGTCAGCAATGGAAGCATTTAGGCACCATGTACACAGGGGTCCCGTTTAGATGCAGCCGCTGTACAGGTTCAAGTTGATGACAGGGTGACAGCGGCCACATCTGTAAGCAACAATCCCCATGTAGTAGTATATGATACAAATGCATGCCTTTTGGAGTGGTTGATTGTCGCTAGATGCATGGCAGATGCAATTGTATCATATATGATTACATGTGAACTGCCTCTTACAGATGTGGTTGCTTTCACCCTGACATCAAGTTTAACGGTTACAGCGGCTGCATCTAAACGGAACCCCTGTGTGCATGGGGAATAAATGCTGTCCTCCTTTTGCAAATGCTATCTGCCTGGCATTTACACTCTGGCCTCAAAACATTCTAAGTCACTGACCTGGAAAAATAATGTAGATTAGAAAGTCACAGTCAAGTGAAAAATCCTCCTCTCCATATGTTCCAGGTCAGTGATTAAAAACACTAAAGCCAGAGGAGAAGCATGACAGCCAGGTGGCAAACACTGGTAAAATGTGAGGTCAACGATGGCAGCCTCTACATGTTTTTCAGGAAAGGTTTTAGTGCCTGTTTACACGACGTCCGTTTTCTGTGCTGACCTGATCCGTACGCTCCTGCTCTAAAAATGCATCCCAATGTATCCCTATGTGTTTTATGGGCTACAGTTCTCACGTGCGAAGTCCGTTCAGGTTACGACAGAAAAATACTGCATGTCACATTTTGTACAGTCAGGAAACGGTCCGGAAACGCAAAACGTGGCAAAAACGCACTG